TATCTATCTATCTATCCATCATCTATCTATATATATATCATCTATCTCTCATCTATCCATCTATCTATCTATCTATCTATCTATCTATCTATCATCTATCTATCTATCATCTATCTATCATCATCTATCTATCTATCATCTATCTATCTATCTATCTATCTATCTATCTATCATCTATCTACCTATCCATCCATCCATCCATCCATCTATCATCTATCTATCATCATCTATCTATCTATCTATCTATCTATCTATCTATCTATCTATCTATCTATCTATCTTTTACCTGACATGTGAGAAGTCCTACTGTCAGGGCCAAAAGACTGTGAATTCTAGAGACCACTGGAGAAGTTCTCTTCATAAGTGGGAGTTCTGAGGTTTCTTTACAAGGTGAGCAATTCAGGAACAAATTAGAAGGTAGCCCCTTTGTACCCTATACGTACACAATTCAGATTTGTCACAATAAAGTCAGAGGATCCATATTATCTTAAATAAAATGCTGGTGAAACACTATGTTTAAAAGCTCTGAGCAGTAGTTCTGAAACATTCTTCCTTGGGATGCCTTGATACTCTTAAAATTTATTGAGAAAAACAAAGCACAACTTTAAAAACAAAAAAAATTATTGAGGACCATGTTTTTTACATTAAAGATTGTAACAGAATATTTTAGAGTATTTGTTTACTAATTCATTTGGGTAACAATCCATTACGCCTTAACATAAATAGGCCTTTTATTAAAATTATGGTCCCCAAAATAAAAATGTTAGTGGAGGAGCAGTTTTCTAGCTTTTGCAGTTTTGAGGACACTGGGGATCAGCCTCAGGGTCTCACTTGTGCTAGGCAAATACTCCTATGCCTTGCTACAACCCTGGCTCATTTGCAACCAATTTTAATTCTATAGTTGGAAAGGCGGCAGGACTCTCATCTTGGACTCACACCCTGTGGTGGTTTGAATCAGAACATCACCAGAGAGTGGCACTTTTTGAAAAGATTAGAAGGATTAGGAGGTGTGGCCTTACTGGAGTAGGTGTGGCCTTGTTGGAGGATGTGTGTCACTGGGGGTGAGCTTTGAGGTTTCAAAAGCATATGCCAGGCCCAGAGTCTCTCCCTCTGCCTATAGATCTTGCGAAGCTCTCAGCTACTGCATCAGTGCCTGCCTGCATGCCGCTATGCTCCCTGCCATGAGGAAAATGGATTGAATCTCTGAAACGATAAGCAAGCCCCCAATTAAATATTTATTTTTATAAAAGTTGCCCTGGTCATAGTGACTAATACACATCCCATCAGCCTGGAGGACAATTATGTCACCATACATCGTACAGCTTCTAAAATCCATCTGAGAAATAACAATGGGAAAAATCAATGATGTCTTTGAGAGCGGTCATCAAAGTTAGTATTCCCACATGCAGAGCCAGATTCCTCACCACTTATCTACCCCTGCCCATCCTTTAAAATGTTAAGAGCGTGTAGCCGAGGCTGGCTTTGAACTTGGAATCCTTTTGCTTCAGACCCCAAATGTCTGAGATTATAAGCATGTGTATCAACCAACCCAGCAACAATGTGTCTTTTTTCCCATGCTATTAGCTTAGTTACAAACATATATAGTATGCTATATGAGTTCCAGAGTCTGATCCACGTCTCAAACTGATTTTTTCCTTTTAAGAACATTCTTTGTTGAGTTTCCAGTCATGACCCAACTGCAGAGGAAACAAGATGTGACTGCCTTGCCAAAGAGGTACCAAGCCACATGGCTAACATAGACAATAAATATGGGCTAATATAAGTTACCAGAATTAGTTAATAAGAAGAGCCTGAGATACTGGACCAATCAGCTTATGATTAATGTAGACCTCTGTGTGAATTCTTTGGGGCTGAATGGCTGATGGCTGTGGTACTGGGCAGAACAGAAACCTCAGTAACAAATGGTGCCCAACGTGTGGACAAATGTATCCACAGAAAACCTGAGAGAGCTTGGGAACAGAGTTAAGCATGGCTTCTTGGTAGCAGCAATTTCTCGGGTTTGTTCTGCTTCCTAGAGGCAAGCACATCTCATTTAAGAGAGGCTTCCTGACTCAGCTTTAGCTGTAAAACCTTGCAGCTCTTTTAAGAGGTCCTGCCACAAAACACTTAAATGGTGTTGATGAAAAGCTGACTGCATGCTTTTGGTGGTGGTAGGGACCTTGAAATGCCATAGAGTTGTGGAAATAAACATGGCTCTGGCCGGTACCTCCACCATGAGGCTAGAATCTCAGAAAGGTAAGGAATAGGCTGGATCCAGCTGCCAAAGCCATGGCTTTAATCATAGCCATATCGCTTAGCAAATTAAAGACTCATGTGGTCAGAAAAAGAGAGATATACAGTAAAGAAAGATTCAGATGAAGAAAACCTCTAAATGGTTTAGAGTGTGTTTAAAAATATATGTAGGCTTGGGAGATAAAAGAAAAAGGATAAATATCCTTAAAAGAAAAAAGAAAAAAAAAAGAGTAGTTGGGTGTGGTGGCACACATCTTTAATCCCAGCACTTGGGAGGCAGAGGCAGACAGAACTCTTGCACACAGTCAACAAACCCTCCTTGCCATGCTGCGCATGTCCAACATGGGAGACCCTGATCTAGGTAAATCCTAGAGAGCTCTTTAGTTCGTGTGTTTTTAAAACTAAGATAACAGCAGTATTTTCCAAAAAATAAAAAGAAATAGATTTTACTCCCAAACAACGTAATTATTATTGAGAATGACTCCATGATATGTTCAAAGCTATATACCAGCTCCATTCAAGTTATTACAACATGAAAAATAAATACAGCTGGGCATGGTGGCTCATGCCTGTAACTATGTGGAAGACAGAGGCAGGGAAATCACAGGAAACAGGAGACCAGCTTGGTCTACATAACAAGACCATCTAAAACCAACCAATCAACCAACAATTAAATAATAATTTTTAAAGTAAAATAGACTTGTCCAATTTTCTGGCTCAAACTGGCTTGCTTTCTTTACCTTGGCATACACTACCAGAGTTCCCAGACCTGCTCTCTTCCTAACCAGTCAAATGACATGATTTTACTTTACCTAGGCAGTGCAGTCACTCAAACCTGCAAATCTAACATTCAGAATCACAGGCATTAGTAGTTTGAGCTCAAGCCAGCCTCAAGGATGACATAGTTTCAGGCCAGTCTGAGCTGGGTACCAAAACCCTGTCACAAGCCAATCAAAACAGATTTTTAATTTTACTCTACTTGGCGGGCGGTGGTGGTGCATGCCTTTAATCCCAGCACCCAGGAAGCAGAGGCAGGTGAATTTCTGTGAGTTCGAGGTCACCCTGGTCTACAAAGTAAGTTCCAGGACAGGTTCCAAAGCTACACAGAGAAACCCTATCTTGAAAAAAAAATTGTAAAAAAAAAAAGAAAAAGAAAAGAGAGAGAGAGAGAGAGAGAGAGAGAGAGAGAGAGAGAGAGAGAGAAAGAGAGAGAGAGAAGATTCATATACTTTAAGGAAAAAAAATATAATAGGTGTGTCCTGACTTGGGAAAACTACCCCTTCCTGGGCGTACTTTTAGGTATTTTGCTAAAGAAAACAAACAAAACAAAGCTTTAGAATGACATTAAAAATTCAGTTTCTCTAAAGGTGTTGATAAAAGGTTCCAATGCAGTGTTTTCAATGCTTTATAATTTTACAAGTAATATGTGCTATAGTTTTACTTTGTAAGAAAAAGAACAATTTTATTTAGTTTATTGCTAAATTAGGTTTGAAACCACACTTCAAGAATTCTCTGGTAGTTCAGCAAGTTAAAATAAATCAGGCATGTCCTACAATTCCCCCACAACAATGGAGAAGGAAGAAAGGAAAAAGTCCTTTTTCAAAGGACTCTTCTAGAGATGATCCTTAGAACTGGTCACAGGTACCCATAAATTCCCAGGTTAATTGTCACCTCTACCAAATCCAACACAAAAAGCCAAGAGTTATTGTTCTTTAAGGTGAGTGCCTAGAAACCAGCAGAAACTTCTCTAAATTGGTGGTACATTTCCTCCTCCTCCTCCTCCTCCTCCTCCCCCTCCCCCGCCGCCCTCCTCTCCCTCTCTCTCTCTCTCTCTCTCTCTCTCTCTCTCTCTCTCTCTCTCTCAAACAAAATAAAACAAACAAACAGAAAACCCAATTCCTCCTACAAACAAATGCCATATCTGAGTATCAAGACTAAATGTCCATCGCTAGACTACTTGAAACTCTGGGGTGGTGTTAGACATTCGGACATTCGGCATCTGCATCAGTACCTGGGTGCCATCAGGCTTCATCGCTTCCTCCAGCTGCTCCCTTGACTGAATTATCTCAAAGTTAGGGGTGCAAGTTTGCGCCTCCCCCTTTGCAGACTGCCCCAGCTCATCCATCTGCTGCTGGAACTTTGCAGTTTTAGCCCTCTCCTTCTCACAGGCGAAGAGCAAACTCTTCACTTGGGCCGTCAGCTTCTCAACTTTTGATTTCAATTTCCGCCTTTGTTTCAGGCACTCCTTTTCCCGTTTCTGGAATTCCTCCTGAAAAGACAAGATCTCTTGTTTGCGGTTCTCCTTCTCATTTTTCAACAAGTTCAAAGCGGAACTGGTGGCCTTCTCCAGCTCTTCTTTGTATCGCTGTAGTCTTTGCAGCTCTTCGTCTTTCTTGCTTAGGGTCTTCTCTATCTCCAGGCACTGACTGACCGATCTGTTTTTCTGCTGTATCTCGGCAATGTACCTTTCCTGTAAATGGACATAAAGGATCTTGGTCTTTTTAACCTGGAGCTGCAAGGTCTCCTTGTCTTTCTTGGATTCCTGAAGTTGCTTTTTGGTGTTAGCCAAAACCTCCTGCAGATCCTGAAATTTCTTGCTGATATCATTCTTCTCCAGGAGTACATTGTATTTGTCATCAATTAACTCCTCCATGTTCTCCTTTAGTTTATTTATGATGTCAGTCAATACTTGCTGTTTGGTGACCTTCGTCTGTAGTTCTTTAACCCTGTTTTCTAAGTACAAGTTCCTACTATGGAGCTCTTGGATCTGCATTTCCTGTCTCTTGTTAATCTGTTTTAATCTCTGCAAGGCTTCATTTAAAGCCATGTCCTCTTCCAGGGGCTCCAAGCATTCAAGGCTTAGCTCCCTATCAGGCAAGGTGCAGTTGTCCTGAGATCTACTCTTGAAGATGCCCTCTGGAGACCAAGGTGTTATGGCTAGGCTGTCTACACTGTCTTCTGTGACTTGCTGCTGGTGACTAATGGACATCTCGGAAATCTCCCCAGAATGCTGCATGTCTTTTGAAGGAACTTCAGGCTGTAAATTACAGTAAATAAAATCAATGTGAAAGAGTAGACTGCTGAGTGTAACTCCCAGCTGCGTGGCAGAGAGAAGCAGTAGGCGTACACAAGAAATGTGCATCGCATTTACTGAAATAAAAGAAAAAAATCTATTTGGACTCTCATTATCTTCTATGATGTAAACCCTGGTCATGTACAAGGTATTTTATTTGGTTTCAAAATCAATTAAGCAACTGTATCAATTACCCTATAGACTATAAGATCTTTTGAGTAAAGGGCTTTAATAATATCCTGCTTGGAACATTACTTTCTCTATGCTGACTCCTGTGAACATTAGAATGGCAGACATACTTCATGATTGACTTTATGCCCACAATGCGTGTTTGGTGGGGGTGTCTGTAACAAAAGACTCCACAATTGTGGTATAGAACACTGAAATGAATATCAAATTAAAAGCCATTTATGAAGCATCTGTTGGGGCAGTATTATATCAACCTAGAGATGCTGAGCCCCTATACTTTGAATGGCTTTTCATTGCTCTGGGATAAAGTCAGTTATCTAACCAAGGTTCCCAAAAGCCCACTAATTGCTATAGATAGCAGACCCTACCACCCTGTCCTCATCCTCATTCAGACCCCTGCTTCCTGCAGCCCATGTTCCCTGGACTCTAGGCTCCCTTGAGGTCCTAGTAGGTATCATAGACCTTACAGATACAGGAAGCCCATAGATATATTGTTCCTTGTTCATGCAAAGCTTCTCAACTCACAGTTGTTTCACCCATCAGAGTCCAGTCCAAGGACTACTTCAAAGAAGCCTCCCCAGCCTCTCTTGCCTGGTGAAGTACCCTCTGCAGAGGCAAGCATCGCTCTGTGTAGTTCTAAGAGTCAAGTGCACAGTGGTTTGTGTGATTCCTTGACTAATATCTGTCTCCCTTACTAGGATATTTTCATGAAGACAAGAGCCATGTGTTATTATTATTATTTTTTTTGGTTTGGTTGTTTTTAACATTATATAACTATCACATAGCCTGTCCTAGAACACAATAGATTCATGGAAAAACCTACTGACTACTTGAAAAAAAAACACCTAATTGCAATGGGAAAAGGAATAAACAGGTTTGAGAAACCTTAATTAGGACTAGAGAGGAAGGGGGAAGTGGGGAGGGGGAGGGGAAAGGGAGGTGGGGAGGAGGTGGAAATTTTTAATAAATAAATAAATAAAAGAAACCTTAATTAAACAGATCTTGCAGATCTTGGAAATGCTGGTTTCTAGAAATCAACATGGTTAGCTAAGTTTTCTTTCAAATGCTGCTAATTTCCAAATCAATGAACAGAACAGCCTGCTCATAATCACAGACAGAAGAGTCATACTTTTTCTTATGAAACTCATGCTGAAAACGTGGTATTTACACTCCCATTGGACTAAACTCTTCTGCTGAGGTTGTTCAGAGAATACACAGACTTGATGTCTTCAGCGCTGTTAGGATATCACCGGTGACCACAACCAATGAAACCCAAGACAAGTAACTATTTGCTCTTCCAAAGAAGTCCAAAAACACAGACAAATCTTTGGCTTGTTTTGCCATATAACTAATAAACACTCCTGTACAAGCTCCCTTTCTCAACCTTTCCCACAAGGCCATCTCTTGAGTCTCAGCTAGTTTGCTGTGGTGCACGTAAAAATGGGTCCTACTTAAGGCACCATGTTGATACCATGCCATGTACATATTAAGGAGCAGGACAGTCAGTCATAATCCTTAGGGAGATCACACTTCAGAGACCTACTCTCTAGTTATGGCCTGACATGAAGACCCATCAGAAGCACAATCCCTTGAGCTGATCAGACAATTTAATGATATTTGGAAAGTCTCAGCCTGTGTGTTTTTAAACAATAAAAACACCTCTGTATCTGTTAACATGCCACAGGCTTTAATGACCCCACCAATCAATCTTACCTCCTCTGTTTCATGATCAGTTCTCAAGTCAAGCAGGTCTAAGCAATCCTCAGTATCAAATAAACGTTCACCGCTAGCACAGACATTTTCTCTACACAGAAAGGGTTGAGGCTGACTGGTGTTAAAGGCAACATCCACAACAGCGCTTCTAGCCAGCGACTTTTCCATCAACGGCTGCGTCTCTCCTCTGTAGTAGTTTAGAGACAGACTTCTAGATTTCCTGACGTGCTCGTGAGCAAGTTGGTCTTGGTTTTCGGAAATCCTAGTTTCCATTGGATTCTCTCCCTTAAGTGCATAGGGCTTCTCACCGGTGTCCGCTGCATCATTATACTCATGGCTTTGTGGCTCCGGCTTCTCCAAGGAAGAAAAGGCCTCGCTCAGGTCTTGAAATGTCATCTCATCGTTAAATGCTTCTATCCAGTGAAATTTGCAAATGGGTTCAAATTGTCTCAAGGAAGAAACCCCAGTGTTAGCTGGTTGATTCTGTACACCCTCTGGGTAATTCCCAAGGTTGATATCTTATTAGAAAAAGAAAGAAGATAATGAGTTACCATAAACTTAGAGAATAAGTGTTATACTTAAAATAAATGTTGAAGGTTTCTCTCTCTCTCTCTGTCTGTCTCTCTGTCTCTCTCTCTGTCTGTCTCTCTGTCTCTCTCTCTCTCTCTCTCTCTCTGTGTGTGTGTGTGTGTGTGTGTGTGTGTGTTTTGTTTTGTTTTTCGAGACAGGGTTTCTCTGTGTAACAGTCTTGCCTGTCCTGGAACTTGCTTTGTAGAACTGGCCTCAAACTCACTGAGCTCCACCTACCTCTGCCTCTCAAGTGCTGGGATTAAAGGTGCGAGCCACCACCACCTGGCTACTTTTCCTTTTTTTATATAGCACCTCACTATTGAGTTTAAGACAGCCTCAGACTCATCCTCCTCCTGCTTTTACCTCCAAGTGCAAGGATTACAGGAGTGTGCACCAATGCTTGATTTAGGTTTCATCCCTAGCACCCATAAGACAGCACACAACTGTCCAGTTCCAGTCCCAGGGGATCAGACGCCCTCTTCTGGCCTCTGAGAGCACTGCATGCACCTGGTGTGCACATGCATACAGACAAAACATTCAAACACACAAAATAATATATGTGTGCATATGCATATATGTATATATATTCACACTTTGAAAAAGGATAGGGTAACATAATTTCAAACACACAAACATGTTTAATTTTTATAAGTTTACAATACTGCAGAGGCAGAAGCAGGCAGATTCCCAGAGCTCACTGGCCAGCTGGTCTAGTTGGTTAACTGGTTAGATTGAAATTCTGTCTAAACAAATTAGGTGCCCAGCAATAGAGGAAGACACCCAAAATTGACCTTTGGCATACACAGGCGCGCGCACACACACAGGTCCACAAGGTGTCAAATAAGTCAACTGTAGAATAAAAGACAGTGTAAATGCATTTTCTTATCCTTTCTCCTATTAACTGACAAATTCAGCTGTATAAAATAGCGAAGTTCTACACAACTAACACCTCATCGGCTCTCTGAAAACCTTCATGTGCTAAAAGAAAACTGCAGGGCTTGGTACTATCTGTAACAGCCATACTGGCTACTTAGGGAAGCTGCAGGGTGCCATAGATACCATAGATGTCATAGATACGCTGGAACCTGATTGTGCAATACCATTCCTGCTTCCTGCACCACATAGTGCTTACTTTTATTACAGCAGCTTCCAAAAACCTTGCTTTGCTAATCAGGGACGGTAAAGGAGAAGTATGGCTCACTGAAATAGTGAACTACTTTGAACTAGCAGATGAGGTATGAAAGACATACAGCATTTGAGATAGCCTCAAATTTCAAAATGCTTTACAGTATCCTAGGTAAACTATGGTAACTACAAACTGTAACATTTTTTAAAGAAATAGCACGACTAGATCAGTTCTTAGAAGTCTTTCAGGACTGAGGGGAGGGCTCAGTTGGTAAACACTTGCCTTGCAGACACAAGAACCTGAGTCCAACACCCAGGACCCACATAAAATGCTGGGCATGGTGGTGCACGCAGCAGCATGCCCTTATAATCCCAGCACTGGGAAGGCGGCAGCAAGAGTGTGTCTGGGGCTCACTGGCTAGCCAGTCCAGTCAAATTGGGGAGTTGAGAACAATGAGAGGCCACGTCTCAAAGAGGATGGGCAGCCTTTCTGCGTCCTCTAGCCTACACGCATACCTGTGCACGCCTTAAGATGCATATATTAAAAGGCATTTTGAAAAAGTAATAGAACATTTGCCTAGCATGTAGGAGTCACTAGGTTTGACCTCCAGTGCTATAAAATAAAATCCTCCAGTCTTTAATTTCAAATTTTCCTTTAGAGATTAAGCCACACAAATACATGTAGATCTAATTCACTATACTGACAGATTACATTTTTAATTTTTACTTATTACTTAGTTTGTTCCTAATGTTGCTGTCAAAACCGCATGTCTTTGAACTGAATGTCCTTGTACACTGGCATGTTTAATCTCCCGGTATACAGAAATGGGATAGATGGGTTCTAGAAAATGCTCATCCTAAACTTTGTTAGATATTGTGAGGTCACTCTCCCAAGCAGTTCTACCAATGTATATACTTCTTCCAGTAATGAAAAAAAGTTCTTTTAGATCACCTGGGAGACGGGCTCTCTGCATGTCTGTCTGGGGCTGTCTTGGTTATGTTCATCTTATGTTAACTACAGTTAAAATCTTAACTCTAGTGGGACCTTTCCCTGGACAGGGATCTTGGGCTGTTAAGGAGGAAAGAACAAGCTGGACAGTAGCACACACCTTTAGCCCCAGCACTCAGCAGGCAAAGGCCAGTCTGGTCTACAAAGTGAGATGGGGGGGGGAGGTAGAGAGACTGAGGAATATTACTTTAACTATGTAAATATGTGTTACATTTGTTTAAGCTATATTTGTTTAATTATGTAAAAATGTGTTGATGTTTCACCTTGCCTGCCTAAAGCACCTGATTGGTCTAATAATAAAGCTGAATGTCCAATAGCTAGGCAGTAGAGGGTTAGGTGAGGCTGGAGGGCAGAGAGAATAGGTAGCAGAAGGAATCTAGGCTCGAGAAGAGAGGAGGTGAGAACAAGGGAGAGAGAACAAGAGAGAAAGAGAGGGAGGCACCTAGGGCAATCAGTCAGACACAGAGTACAACATACAGAATGAAAGAAAGGTAAAAAGCCCTGAGGCAAAATGTAGACAAGAACAGGTTAATATAAATTATAAGAGCTAGTGGGACACACATAAGATAAAACCGAGTATTCATAACTAATAATAAGTCTCTGTGTCATGATTTGGGAGCTGGTTGGTGGCTCCAAAAAGCCTATTAGAGAGAGAGAGACAGAGACAGAGAGAGACAGAGAGAGAAAAAAATAGAGAGAGGGAGGAGGAGGAGGAAAAGGAAGAGAGAGAGAGAGAGAGAGAGAGAGAGAGAGAGAGAGAGAGAGAACAAATTTTAAAAATAATTTTTTAGTATCTCCTGACTTCAGATGAAATTTGGCTGTCTGCCTCAAGTTCCTGCTGCTTCGGATTTCCAACTGGACCTTGAACTGTATGCTAAATAAACCCTTTCTTCTTTAAGTGGCTTTTTGTCAGTATTGTTTTTGTTTAGTCTTGTTTTTTGAGACAAAGTCTTACGCAGTAGTCTTGGTTTGTCTGGAACTGGCCACATGAACCAGGCTGGTCTCAAACTCCCACACAGAGATCTGCCTGCCTCTGCCTCTGCTTCTCGAGAGCTGGGATTTAAGGGGTGTGCTTGGTGAAAATTATTATTTTGAAGTCCTAAGCCCAAACATCTTAGAATGTAATTATTTGGAGACTGTATTTGGTCTTTAATGAAGTGATCAGGCTCAGATGCTATGAGAAGCATAATTCCTAATCCAGTGGGGTCCTTGAACAAAGAGAAAGGCACTGCACACAAAGGGTCATGGGAAGGCACAACAGAGGAGTGGCCATCTTCAAGCTGAGGAGAGAGACTGAACCAGGCTCAGGGCTTCCTGTGTAAGTCACACAGCCTGTGTTTATTCATATCAACCCTAGAGTACAGAAGCATACTGTCTGGATTGTCTATTCAGTTATGTGTTGTTTTTTGTGTTGGAATTCTTTATTTTGGGATATCAATTTACTGTCAGTTATATATATTGTAGATATCGTCTCTCAGTCTGCACTTTCAGCCTGTGGTTTCTAACTGGTTGATTATACTTTGATCACATATTAGTTTCTGATTTTGATATTATCAAACGTATCATTTATGATTTGTATTTAAATGTCAAGAAACATTTCTCTTTCCTATTGTCGTAAAAGACATTTAATTTTTTGCTTTATTTATTGACTCTGTGTGTGTGTGTGTGTGTGTGTGTGTGTGTGAATGTGTGGTGGGTAGGTATGTATGAAAGAGAGAGAGAGAGAGAGAGAGAGAGAGAGAGAGAGAGAGAGAGACTGCACAAGTGAGGCATGGCATGTGTATGAAGATCGGAGGTGAACTTTTGATCCATGAACTGGGTGATTCTCCCACCTGTGCCTCCCCCCTTACTGCACGAGTGCTGGGATTACAGATGTGCACCACCACATCTGACTTTTTACAATGGTTCTGAGGGTTGAACTCTGGTTTGCTCAACTAGTGCCTTTACCCGCCACATCTTTGGCCCTCAATTTTCTTTCTGGAGTTAAGAACATTGTAGCTCACTTGTAGGCCATGACCCCATGGAATTAACTTTTGAATCTGGTGTAATGTCTAATATCTTAGAAAACTATCTATTCACTAGGCAGTGGTGGCACATGCCTTTAATCCCAGCACTTGGGAGGCAGAGGCAGGTGGATCTCTGTGAGTTCGAGGCCAGCCTGGTCTACAAGAGCTAGGGCCAGGACAGGCTCCAAAGCTACAGAGAAACCCTGTCTTGAAAACCAAAAAAAAAAAAAAAAAAAAAAAGAAAGAAAGAAAACTAACTACTCTAGCATAACCAGATAAATCTATTCTTACCCCACTGATTTATAATCACACTTCTAACAAATCTTGTTGCTGTTTGAGACAGGGTCTTGTTATGAAGCCCTCAGTGGCCTGGTAATTATATAGCCCAGACTGGCTTAAACTCTTGCTCCTCCTGCCTTATCTCCTCAAGGGCTGGGGTTTGTGCACACACCATCATACCAGGCTCAACTTCTTTCATTTCTAAATGGGAACACCAGGATCTCCTAATGATAAGTGTAATTGCGTTAATTCTTAGCTGCGAGAAACTGAGTATGCAGCATCTCTCCAGTTTTTACGCTCTCCACCAACTTTCCCCATTAAACCTGGCACACCTTCTGTGCCATTTGTTCTCGGGTATTTTATTAGTGCTATTTCTGATAATAGTTAAAATTTTAGAAAGAGTTTATGCTCTTATGCATACTTATGTGTGTGCCTCCATGAGTTTATGTGCATGCAGGTGTCAGTGGAGAGCTGAAGAGCGTGTCGGGGGCTTCTGGGATGGGAGTTCCTGAGGGCTGTGAACCCCTCATGTGGGTGCTGTGAATCGAACCCGTCCTCTGCAAGAGCAGTAAGTGCTCCGAACTGCTGAGCCATCTCTCCAGACCTAAACATTTCTTTCGAAAGGAAATTCCTGTTAGCACATTGTAATACTATTAGTTTTTAAAATATGACCGATCATTCCTCTAAACTTTTATACTGGGTCTAGGAGTTTCTAGGCGCTTATGAATTTCTTATGTAGAAAAACTATGTTTACGAATGATTACTTCCTATCTTTAACTTAAAAATGATTATTATTGTATATGTATATATGTGTGGGAAGGCATGCCACAGCACATGTGTGAGGTCAGTGAACAACTTTGTGGAATTCTCTCCTTTCTTTTTGATGTGGGTCCTGGGAATTGAAGCCAGGCCGCCAGGCTTGCATAGCAAGCACCCTTACCTGCTGATTTGTTCATGGGCCCTTGTCTGCCTTTCTAGTCCCGACACCACTTACATTTCTTACACCTGTACATACTGAATTCTACAGCAAGGTTTGCCAGATCTTTTCAAGTTACTATTCTTTATAGTTATTAAAACAAATTTCTATATGCTATTTGGGCTTGCACTGATACATATGGACAGTGCGTCTTATGACTAGCTCTTAACTAGCATTTAACCCAATATCAATTTAAGCCAAAAATAACAAATTTTGGTTGTATCAATACACATCTCCTAAAATGCTTGTGTGGTATTCTAGTGTTTGAGACAACTTGAATAACAGCTTGCTGATTAAGGATACATGATGCTGGGCAAATCAGATTCTTAATGCAAAATGGAAATAAAAGTACTCTTATTTCAGAAAAAAACCCAACATTTCATAGAATTATCTGTGGTTTACTTTAATAGCATTTATCACGTGCTTATCTCAGAATCTGGTTATTATTGTCCTTACCACAGGACACACTTTCCTGTGTGTATATGGAAACAAAGGGATACTTACCCCCTAGCAAACTGTCTTGAGTGCTATATATATCTTCAGAGAGCGTGTGTGTAGACTCATTTTCCCTTTTTGCATTCTTTGTTTCGTCCTGCATAATAATTTAAAAAGCATTATTAACACTTCAAGAAAACATCGGCTCCTAAAGGAGCACACAGCTTACTATATAGTTTTTTATGAGAACTTTCTGTTTCACAGGCAGAATGTGAACTTTAGCACATTTTCCACTTTGTATTCAGAACTTTGCTGATCACTCAGGAGACTTACATAAAAAGTAGCCTGCTTCTCAGTATTCTTTTTAAAAGTGAGATTGTCTCTCTCTAATCACTGGGCTAGATGAGAATGTTTCTATCTTTTGTTGATCATTGTTGGGATCTTTAAGAGACAGGGTTTCATGCCATAGTAATTTCAGACTTTCCTGAAAATCACTGTGTAGACACTGCCTTCAACCCGTGGTCACTCTCCTGCCTCATGCTATCCAGTGCTGGAATTATATATGTGAAGAACCAAGCTCAGCTTGGGCAGTTATGCCTTATCTATCCCTGTCATTTGAGCAAGCATACACATACCATGAGGAGTGTGGAGGGCAGAGGACAACTTTGGGAAGTTGATTGTCTTTCCTTCCACTTTGTTTTGGAGTGAGGGCCTCTCTTGCTATTTCTGCCATGATGAGTACTCCATGTTATCCAGTCTGTGAGTTTCGGGGCACTGTCCAGTCTCTGCTCCGCATCTCACAGTAGGGGTGCTGGGGTCACAGGTACACAGTACCATCAAACCTAGATTTTTACCTGGGCTTTGGGGGTTGACCTGGGGTGACCAGGCCTGAGTAGCAGCACCTTTACCTGCTGAGCTGCCTTGCCAGCTTCAGCTCAGATAATTCTTTAATTTTTATTAAATCTTGTTTAAAGAGCACTAGAGTAGGAATGCTTTTTTTTTTTTGTTAACTAGCTTTTTGTTTTGTTTTGTTTGACATTGAAGATAAAATTTCCAGTAATGAGGTGACGCCTGACTCCACTAAATAATTTATAAACACACCCAGGTCTTGTTCTCTCTGTATTCTTAATGCTATACAAAAGGGCAGATTAAATTAGTATTACAAATAAGATAGCATAGGGAATATTTAAAATTTTTGGTAAAAACATTTGGTTTTATCACAAATAGTATCACATATCTCAAATACGTGGATCTAAATGAAGAGAAAAAAATATAAAATCATCCTGGGAGCTGGAGATGGTTCAGCTCTTCCAGGGGACCCTGACTTGATCCCCAGCACCCACATAGTGAATGCCTCACAACTGCCTTTATCTGCAGTCCCATGGATCAGCCATTCTTTTATAACTCTGTGGGCACTGTACGCACATGGTGCATAGATATACACGTAGGCAAGACACCCTACAATAAACTAAACAATTAAAAAAAAAACCTTGGCATGGCAGAGGATACTAAAAGTTCATCACATAGGAAAAACTAATGTGACCATTCTTCTTTTTTCTTTCCTTTATAAAAGTTTTTTTTTTCTTTGAAGGGCTGGAAAGATGGTTTAGTAACTGCTTAAGAGCACTTGTTGCTCTTCCAGAGGATCCAAGTTCAGTTCCTACTACCCACACTGGGCAGCTCACAGCTGTGTCTAACTCCGGTTCCAGCAGATCTGGTGCCCTTTTCTGGCCTCCAAGGGGTACCTATATTTGCGCGTGCACACACACAAACACACACATACACACACGATAAAGTAAATCTTTAAAAGTATTTTTTGAGACAGGGTTTTGTTATGTAGCCCAGGTGGACCTCAAATTTAGGATGCTCCTGAGCCCACACCCAGAGTGTTAGGATTACAGGTATGTACCACCACTCCTGGCCCATGTGACCACTTTTCTGTCAGCAAGTATATATTTTCAGTATATAAGCTCACATCAATAAAATAATTTATCTGCTGTATTCCATAAAATAATTTAATTATTCTCCACTTAAAACTTTGTTTCTAACGCATGATTATGGATCATTCTTTTTTAAAAAGTTACACTTAGTTATTTTTGTGTGCATATGAGTGTGGACACGTGTGCGCTGCGGCACGCATGTGACAGTCGGGCACAGCCTGCAGGAGTCAGTTCTCTTCCACTGGCTAGGCCTGGAGACTGAAGTCAGCTCAGAACGCAGTCATCTGGCGCGGTGGCAAGTGCCTTCGCCTGCCGAGCCCTCTCAATAGCCCAATGGCGGACAATTCCTGGAGCAGCGTCTCTGAATATTTCCTAGAGGAGGACTTTTAAATGGCAGCTTATCTTAGATCCCTAAAATTAAACAAGCCCTTTAGGAAGCCTTTACCAGTTCATACTCTGGACCCCATGAGTTTCTCATTATTTGTCCATTAAAACATTTCTACTCTCTTCCTAGTCTCACGCTAGCAACTACAAAACTCAACATTACTGAAGATCTCTTATTTCATGAGACAGGACACTAGTACTTCTCAGAAAGCTCTAGGACGGATACTGTCAATGACATGCCTGACAGTTGGGCATTTGCAGGGAGTGGAAGATGCACTAAAGCAGGTCCTTGTTTGGGTTCTCATCCTGTTTGTGACTGAGCTGGAACCATGTCCCCTAGCTGCACGCCTGGAACTTCATGAGCAGGAAGGCTCTGTCCTAGCACTATGTCTGTAACACCGTACCGCCTTCTGCACCCCAAGATAAGAAAACCAGGTCCCACATGCCCCTTTCTTCTGTGTCCACTGGGGATCTTTTACCATCCCTCATACCTTTGGAAAAAAATATTCACATGAGAGCAATCTGGGTGATCTCCTCAAACTTATTACTGCAGAATGCACACCTGAGACCAGTCTGAAGCAACTGAGCTGGCTTCTATACGGAAGAGCAAGTCTGAGTAGGAGACGTCTTGAGGAGGCTCACTGATGTCTATCGTTTCCGATTCTGACATGCTTTCTAAATGTTCATGGAAAGTCTCCACTTCAAAATGTACAGGACCTGAGGATGACAGCAAGAACTCTCCCCTTGCTTTTACGCTGCCAGAGATGATGACCAAAACTTTTGAGAGTCCTTCTTTCTAACTGCCGAATGATGGAAGGCCTCTTCAAAACAAGCAAACGAAAGAGAAAGACACGCTTTTAGTGTCAATCAGTATGTGCAAAGACTTTCTTTACCCCTCTTCACAATAAGAAAGCAGCAAAGTGTGGGCGGGAGAGCTGGAGAGATGGCTCAGCGGTTTAGAGAACTGGCTGCTCTTTCAAAAGAGCAGGGTTCGATTCTATTCCCAGCAGCCACACTGCCCCTTAAAACTATTTGTAAACTCCAGGCTGGGGCCCTGACACTTCTGGTTTCCCTGGGCACTGCACACATGTGGTGCACAGACATACATGCAGGCAAAACTCCCATACACGCAAAATAAGAATGTAAAAAATCAGAAAAGTTAACTACTCCAGATTTTAATTTGTTTGTTTGTTTGTTTGTTTTTTAAGACAGGGTTTCTCTGTGGCTTTGGAGCCTGTCCTGGAACTAGCTCTTGTAGACCAAGCTGGCGTTGAACTCACAGAGATCCTCCTACCTCTGTCTCCCAAGTGCTGGGACTAAAGATGTGCGCCACCACCGCCTGGCTTAAAATGTCATTTTCTGATTTAGTATGGCAATAAATAGTGATTTGGCTAAAAGAAGCCAATGTGTATAGTGTCTATCCAATAACGTTCTACAAAGTGAAGGAGTCTATCATTTCAAAAATACTATCAGAAACCTTTATGGTTTCATAAAATACCACCTTTCTGCTCAATGCCTTCACCTTCACTACACTAAATCAAATTCAACACTGTGTAGTTTTTCCGCACCACACCTGTTGGTTCAAAAAACTGGCGTTGAAATTTTATCTTTTGTTTGTGGTTTGTTTTTGTTCTGTTGAGACAGGGTTTCTCTGTGTAGCTTTTAGAGCCTGTCCTAGAACTCACTCTGTAGACCAGGCTGGCCTCAAACTCACAGAGATCTGTCTGCCTCTGCCTCCCGAGTGCTGGGATTAAAGACGTGAGCCAGGCTCATTTTGTTTTCCAGAGAGGTTCTTGCTATTATGTGGCCTGGGCTGCCTTAAATTCGTGACAATCCTCCTGCCTCAGCCCTCTGACAGTTGAGATATGTGGTGCCACCATGACCTTCAGCCTTGGTTTCTGCCTTTGTTTTGGTTTATTTTCTGCATGTTTTGCAAGAGTCTGGAACACTGGAGGCGTCTTAGTAGTCCTGTCATCACCATGGCTACTGTCATCAAATTGTGCCCATTTTTTCCTTTATAAGAATTTGTCCATAATCCATGCTTCATTCCATATCCTGTCTTCACTGATCTGTATTCTTATAGCATATGTATCTGCCAGGAGGCATGGTAAGTAGGTCCAACCGCAGAGTCCAATTCTTCTACTTGTCCTTGGGGGCATTTCAAACCCACATACCCACATAATTTACCCAATGTTATTCCATGTTCTGGCAGACCAGGCTTCTTTCTCTACAAAGAGATGCTTTCTACCATCCCAGCCATCTTCCCAAGCCTGGGATTCTCCTAGAACCTTCCTTAGTTTCTGTTGCTGTGACTAAACACAAGTCAAAAACAACCTGGAAGGGCTTATTTGGCTACTACTTCTTGTTCACAGTCCATCACCATGGGAACTCCAGCAAAAGAGAGGTAGGAACAGGGAGGGATGCTGCTTACTGGCTTGGCCAGCTACATTTTAGTTCCTTCACAGCCCAGGCCCACCAGTTCAGGGATGGCAGAGACCACAGTGGGCTGGACTCTCCATCATTTAGTAATGAAGAAAATGTCCCCACATAAGTGCCCACAGATCAGCCGGATGGAGGCAAGTCCCCAACTGAGGTTTCCTTTTTCCAGATGTCTCTAGTTTTCACCAAGCTGACAAAAGACAGCACACCATCCGTCTGGTTTTAAATTTCCTGTGCTGTTTTATTAGTCTTTGCATTGTCTTCCCATAATGCATCACTACTACTCCAAGGGGATTTTCCACTTACACCTTATAATCGTTTGGCAAGGAATTTATTTACAGCTTTTCTTTCTTTTTTGATTTTTCAAGACAGGGTTTCTCTGTGTATCTCCTGATGTCCTGGAACTCACTCTGTAGACCAGGCTGGCCTCGAATTCAGAGATCCACCTGCCTCTGCCTCCCTGAGTGTTGGGATTAAAGGTGTGCGCTACCACCGCCCGGCTATTTACAGCTTTTCCATACTTTGTACTGTAAACAGGCCAGTGTTAGTCTTATGTCTGCCCTCCTCTTTTTCTGCCCCCACTAACTTTCCTTTTATTCTTAAAGGTTTTTAATAATGTGCATGTGTTTGAATCTCTGTGTGGGTCTGTGCCTGGGATTCAACATGTCCTTGGAGGCCAGAGGTATCAGACTCCCTAGAGGTAGAGATCCAGGAAGCTGGGTGCCAAGAACCAAACTCGGGTCCTTTGTAAGAGCAGTAATATTATCTACATATTACATATGACAGTATGTAATAATGGCTGAGCCCATCTTCCTAGCCCCTAATCTTTGTATTGATAGTCTCCTCTTTCTACATCAAGTGGGGTAGATTAGACAGGGCTTTTTACAAACCTTTTCCACTCACAATCTTCTTTCCAGTGAAATTACATGTAAATAAAACACCCATGACAAATTATACAGATATTTATTTTAAAACAATTTTTGTATACAAATTAATTTTACAACTTGTTAAATAGGAAAGCAAATTTACATATTAATTGGATGTTTATCTGACGTAATATCATCCAAAGATCTACTACTTTGCTATTTGTATGCCGAGAAATGTCAGTAGGAAAATATTAAGTCTGTTTTCCGTAATGAAACGATTATTTCTGTAAGACCAGAAAACTGCAGTTCCTAACATGTCAGTCTCACACCTGAACGGAGGTATTTTGGGCAGTGTTTGCTGCTGTGGCTTGGTATAATGGCATGTATAACACAAGCTGTGGGATTGTTATCACAGGTGAATATTACCAGACAATCAGCAGATTCAGTACACATTTTATTTACTTATTTATTCGGTTTTTCAAGACAGGGATTCTCTGTAGCTTTGGTGCCTATCCTGGAACTAGTTCTTGTTGACCAGGCTGGCCTAGAACTCAGAGATCCACCTGCCTCTGCCTCCCGAGTGCTGGGATTAAAGGCGTGCACCACCACTGCCTGGCTCATTATACATTTTATTATGAATCCATTTTTTGGGTGTCAAGAATTTGTCATGATTCCATATGTCCCCTCCCATATGGGGCCATGATCCTCAGTTAAGAAACTCTGGCGTACACAGTTAAACGACAACTGAAAAATATCCTATATTCTAGTGACTTATTATCAGATTGTCTCAGCTTACAGTTAGTACCTATTTGCATGAATGACTTTTTTTTTTTTTGGTTTTTCGAGACAGGGTTTCTCTGTAGCTTTGGAGCCTGTCCTGGAACTAGCTCTTGTAGACTAGGCTGACCTCGAACTCACAGAGATCTGCCTGCCTCTGCCTCCCAAATGCTGGGATTAAAGGCGTGCGCCACCACCCGGCCGGCCTGAATGACTTTGTTAAATTATTTAATTTACTGAAGATGTTTTCAAATCGAGGCCATCACGTGGTAAAGTATGAAAGTCTCCACCTTCTGTCACCTTTCCTGTCTTGCAAATAAATTCTACCTGGGGGACTGATGACAGGGATATGAAAAATCATTAAGTCATTTTCCAGATGTAAAACGCTTCTCTTTTCCATGGACCTGTGACTTGCAATTACACTTTAAAAAATGTAGGTAACTCCCCTGGAACTGGAGTTTCAGTAGTTGTGAGTGGCCCACCCAATTGGGTGCTGGGAACCGAATTCCCATGTTCTCAACCACTAGGCCATCTGCTCCCATTACGTTTTTAAAAGTTTGTCCATGCCTCCTATAACTGTATAATCTGCCAATTTACTCAAAAAAAAAAAAGACTTTCTTTGCATCTTTCACTTTTAAAAATACTTATTCAATGTTCGGTTAGACGTTATATCTAAAGTCGGTTTTTTTTGTTTTGTTTTTTTTTTTTTTGTGGGGGTATTGGATTTTTCGAGAGAGCGTTTCTCTGTGTAGCCCTGGTTGTCTTGGAACTCATTCTATAGACAAGGATGGTTTCAAACTCGGATTCCCCTGCCTCTGCTGGGATTAAAGGCGTGCGCTCACGCCCCAACGCCCGGCCCCGAGCCGGTCTGAAATCTGTAGTAAGGGCCTGTGAGAGGGCTGAATGCAAAATAGCGCTGACGACCTGGATTCGGTTCCTGGAGCCCAAGGTGGAAGGAGCGAAAGCTCCCCAAAAGTCATTCTCTGACATTCACAGGTGCGCTCGCCTACACACGTGCTCGCGAGCGGTCCTACATACCATTTAAACAACAAAAAATTAATAATAATAAAAAAAGCAGTGAGAAAGCTCACGAGAGTTCCTGCCAAATGTGAAATTTCAGTGGAGTAACACCAACTTAAAAACAAAGCCAAAACCACTTGTCCCATTTGCATCTCAAAACAACGCACCAACGTTTCTAGGGCGCAAAAGTGTGCTCACTTCCATGATCCATAGAGCTTCTCGGCCCCAGGCTGAGGATTCCGGGTTTTCCCCGCACACGGGGTCCGCGGGAGGGAGACCTCCTTCCAACCGTCCCCTCCGAGGGCTGCCTCCAGCTGCTGGGTCGCCGAGAGCTCGAACGTCCCAGTGTGACGTCCTCTGGATCTCGCTGCAGTCCGGAGGAAAGAGAACAGAGGACGCAAGTCTTCAGGAGCAGCCAGGAGATATCAGGCCTGACTCTCTGAGGTGGGACACGTCGTGGCGGAGCAAGAAGGAGAGGTTGGGGAAGAAACCGCCGCCACACACCCACTCCTCCGATCAACGAAACACGCCCACTTCACAACGCGGATTGGCCATTCCCGGCCACCGTAAAGCACTTGCTCCTGGAGGGCGGTACGGCACGGAGCGGAATTGCGTGTGACTACTTCCGGCGCTGAACTTCCGGCATTGAGCTCGCCGGTGGCGTGTTTACAGAAGTTGTATCTCCTGTCACTCCGCAGCACCTGGTTGCTGCTTTGGACCTGGAGGTTGCCGAGCGTTTTGTGTGAGGCGGGACTCGCGGAGACGCCGTTGGGTTCGCCAGGTGAAAAGCCGTCTCTTCCGCTCGCGGCCGCCTCTCTCGCCATGGACTGCCGTCGGGATAGGATGGTCGCGGTAGTGCCCGGACAGTTCGACGACGCGGATGCGTCAGACAGGTAGGCGGCCGGAGACCACACACGGACTCCTTAGGCTCCACCAGCTCCGCAGTCCTCTCGGGGAGCTGACGCCTGACGGGTCTGGACTGTGGTTTCCTCAGGGTCTGTCCTTACAGCTGGGAGGATCGTGAGAACTTCTTGTCAAGGGAGTCTGAGTTCCAGAATGATTGACAGAGAAGCAGAGTTGGAGATAATTGAGAATCGTAGGGCTCCCCCAACTCCCACATACAGTGTTCCACATAGACTGAGCAGACTTTTGTCTCCACTGGAGAGGTGATGGACAAGACAAACCAAGTCTCTGCTGTGTGTTTGGAAGGGAGAGCAGACGCAGATAGTTTCAGTGAGACGGATATCTTGGGCAGGAAAGAGCCACATTTAATAGCTCGGAAGACCGCTCGCCTAACAGATGGGGCTCGGATTCCATCTCCAATACTAAAACCACACATACACACAAAGTCCAGATTAATTGACTAGAAGAAGCAGTGGAGAAACGACGTTTGTGGCCAAGTGGCCAAGTGAAGGCCCTGCGGTGGATTTCTCTTGGCTGTAAAAACAAAAGCGAGGGGCCAGAACCTAGAGCGCAGCGGGGAGAACTGAGGCGGGAAGGGAGACCAGCCAGGTAGAGCCTCACAGGTGCCTGAGAGGAGTCGAGATACTGACTGTTCAGGTTTTATAAGCCCAGAGGAAGGCGTTTAGCAGATCCAGGGAGTCATTTGGTTTATGAATTAAAGGAACTGATCAGTTCTGTAAAAGATGTTCTTAGAGAGTAAGAGTGGAGCCGAAAGCTGGGCGGTGGTGGCTCAGACCTTTTATCCGAGCGCTCGGATCTGTGAGTTTGAGGCCAACCTGGACTACAAGAGCTAGTTCCAGAACAGGCTCTAAAACTACAGAAAAACCCTGTCTCGAAAAACAAACAAACAAACAAACAAAAAGAGTGGAACAGAGAACCAATTAAAACAAACAAAAAAACCCAGGTTCAAACATGGTGCTCCTAAGCTGTGGCCATAGGATGATTTTGCAGTAGCAGTGTCGAGGTTTTGTGGTTGAGTTGACCGTGTGGTCTGATGAAAGCAGTGAGGGAAAACTTCCCATTAAAAAGAAAAGAAAATTAAATATAGTCATTTTGAAGGAACAGAGGATTTTGTGTATTTTATGTCATGTAGATGTTATTCATCAATTGATAGTGATATTGATAAATATAATATGGACCATGCTGTGTGTCAAATCTAGTGTTAGCTACCGTTTTGATTGACAAAAAAGGTTAGGGGAAGCTGGTATTAATAATGAGGCAAATTGTTTGTGTTAAAATTAAATGGTGAATATTGCAAAGGAGAAAGGAGTAAACAGTAACATATAGTAAGTTAGTAGAGGATGCGTGGGGATTAGCTAGAGAAATTAGAGAGCTCCAGTCTTCTGGTTCCAGATCCTCTTACAGGAATTCTTGCTGAAGAGTTTTAGTGGGAAGAAGAAACAGCCTGCTTTGCTGGATCATGTGTAATGGTAACGGTGGTGTACCGCTTACCCACTGCCTGCATACACACAGGACGCTGCTGCCACTGCGCCAAAGAGACATGGCAATCTCCAGACACATTTTTGTATGTCACACCTGGGCCCCAGTGGTTATACTAGTGGCATCTGAAGGTAGGTATTGCCTGGCAGTGCTATCTGTACAAGACATTCTCACAGTAGAGGATTGCCTAGTCGGGACTGAGGACGCCAGGATCGTTTGCACAGTAGTGACTCAAACCTACCATTCTAGGTTATTAGATTGGTTAAGTGAAGGAGTCGTTTATGTTTTATACGTAAATGAAGTCTTAGTAAACTGCAGTTATTTAATGATTGTCTAGCTTTTTCCTACTCATGCCCATAAGCACTTGAGGCCCAGTGAGCTGTAGCCAGTTAATACATTGGAATTGATAACTGAATTTATTTCTTTAAAAAAAATACAAAGGGCCAGGTGTGATGACAGTGCCTTCAATCCCAGTACCCTGGAAGCAGAGGCAGTGGCTCTCTGAATTCAAGGCCAGTCCTGTCTACATTGTTTGTTTCAGGCCAGCCAGAGCCACACAATGAAACTCTGTCTCTAAATAAATAAATAAATATGATATAGAGTGCTTGCCTAGAAAGGACACAGCTCTGGGTTCAGTCCTCAGAACTAGGGGGGATAATGGCAATTTTTATAGTTATATGACGTGATACACATCTTTAATCCCAGCACTAGGAAGGCAGTGGCAGGTGGATCTTTGAGTTCAAGCCCAGCCTGGTCTACATAGCAAGTTCCAGGCTCTGGCTACATGATGAGACACTTGTCTTTTAATGTCTTTTAAGAAAAGGAGTGGGGATATCAGTTCACTAACTTACTTCATGTCATCCTTGCCGGAAACCCATGCTAATGTTGGTATTGCTCCTGTTGTATTGTGCGATGCTGACTTGAGCATTATGTCTTTAACTAGTACATAGTATCAGTTGTTTTATGTGATTACTGGCCTGCTCTTTGCATGAAAGGTCAAAGCTGGTTACAATTGTATTGAATTTGGTGGTAGATGTGTTTTGTTTGGGATGCACAAAATTTTATAAAAATTGAGCCTGGCTCTGGGTGTAGTGGTGCACTCCTTTAATTCCAGCATTTAGGAGGCAGAGACAGGAGGATCTTTGTGAGTTTGAGGCCAGCCTGGCCTACAAAGTTCCAGCACAGCTGGGGCTACACAGAGAAACCCTGTCTCAGAAAAGGAATAAAAAAAAAAAGATGAAGAAGATGAACAGATTAGGAAATTTAAGGGAATCTTTTGAGACTGGGTTTTTCTGTGTAGCTTTGAAGCCTGTCCTGGAATTCACTCTATAGACTAGGTTGGCCTTGAACTCACTAGATCGCTTGCCTCTGCTTCCTGAGTGCTGGGATTAAAGGCATGTGCCATGTGCCACCATTGCCCAGCATGTAAGGGAACCTTTAGGACTGTATGTGGATGGTTTTCTCCTTAGAGAATGTATAAATATGCCAGAACATTTTTATGTCTAGTGAAAGCATGGAAGTGAAGTCAATTCAAGCAAAAGACGACATGCTACTTCAGAACCTTCAGAATGAGGTGACAGAGGTGAAGGATGAAGGTGAGATCGATGAGGAAGACAACTATGATTATGACAGTGATTGGTACTGGGATGATGGAACTGGAAAACTCACCAAGGGTTGTACCGGGAATGGAGGCAGTAACCCTCAGGTATGGAAGTCATTCTGTGAATCTGCTTATATTGTGTGTGTGTTAGCATGCATGTGTGTGTGGGGGGGTGCGGGGCGACAGATAGCTTTCTCTTTAGTTCTCTTTGGTGAAATTTCAGGTATTTTCGGCTTCAATTATGATATGTATGCATGCTGAATGTTAGCTGTTACTTTTGGTTGCTGATGATTATAACAGTTAAATTGCTGTGTTGGGGGTGCAGTGCATGTTATAATTTATTTTAAAATGATGGGAAGGAGAAACTCCATACAACAGGGCTCACATAGGAGTTTATTGGAAGAGGAGAGATAAGGGGGCAGAGTGGGGAGCAGAGACCGATTCCTGGGGACAAGAGTGGCGGAAGAGAGACAGACGGGAGGTAGCGGTGCTCTTAGTGGCTACAGATGCCTGAATACTAACAGTGCATTGTTGGAACACTTGCATGTCGCATCCCCGCATGACAAAAATAGATCTGTTAGTCAGACATGTATAGGATAGGAAACATAGATTGAATTTTATTTATTGTGGTTGTAGGGATCAAACCAAGGGCAAGTATCATACTACTAATCTATATCCCAAGGCCAAAAGTTATTTTAAAAGTAAAAGGGGCTGAAGAAATGACTTAGTGGTTTAGAGCATGCATTACTTTTGCAGAGGACCTGGGTTCAATTCCTTTAACCTACATGGCAGCTCACAATCCTCTATATAACTCCACTTCTGACAGATCCACTGCCCTTTTCTGACCTCTGTGGGCACCAGACACATGCAGTGCATATACATGCATGTAGGTGAAACGTTCATACATAAAAAATAAGATAACTAAATCTTAAAAAATTGTATTAAATTTCACAGAAAAATTTTTAAAGATTTATTTATTTATTGTATTTATAGAGTTCTGCCTGTCTTTTTAAACTTTTTACCCTAAGCTTTTAATCTTTTAAGCTCTTTACAAATAAGACAACCCAGTCTCGAGTTTCATGCTTAGATACAGTAAAGCTGAGTCAGCAGTTATTCAGAGCCCTTTATATCTGTGCTGCGTTTTCTGAGTGTTTGGTGTTGTTTCTGCTTCTCTTTGGCATCATTTAAGGTCATGCAGTGCACCAATATAAGTGTTGGCTGAGGCTCTTTCCCCTTTTCCTTTCTTGAAGTGTCAGGCTTATATAGTTACTAGAATGAACTTAATGTTATCCTTAGCTCTTTATTAAACACTTTGAATGTAAATAAATATTCTCAAGTATCAAATCTATAAACCAATTGAATAAAAAATAAATCTAACCTAATTATTCATAATAACAAAAAATACATTGAAGGGAAATAAATAACATGTGATCTCTGTTCTAGTTAGTAACCTTAGCCTTCTCTTAGAAATGCCTTACTTTTTTATGTGTATGTGTGTTTTGTCTGCATATATATCGATACACCATGTGCATGCAGTTCACAAAATGCCCCAGGAATCCAGAAAAGGGTTTTGAATCCCCTGGACTAAAAGTTATAGACGGTTGTAAGCTGTCACATGGGTACTGGGCATCGAATCCATTCTGGAAGAGCAGCCAGTGCTCTTAACTGCTGAGCTATCTTCTCCAGCTATAAAAACCTTAAAAAAAAAGTCTTAGAATATGTTTCTTAGTGTGCTCTTGTGTGTAATGATGCTTTAATAACTAATTGAACTGGGGAAGGGGAGATGATGGTTCAGCAGGTAAATTCACTTGATGCCACGCCTGACAACTTGAGTTCAATTCCTGGGATCATCAGGGTGAAAGAAGATCAGCTGTTAAAAGTTGTCCTCTGACCTCCATATGTGTGGTGCCCCTCCCCCAAAAATATTTTTAAAAATGGCTAAGGGAATAAACAATGTAATTGTGATCCTTAGGCTTGAATTTATAACTAATCCTATTTTAAATTAATTTCTTATAGGCAAATCGTCAGACTTCTAACTACAATTCTGCCAAAATGTCTACGCCAATTGACAAGTCCTTGCAAAAATTTGAAAATAAAATCAATCTAAGTAAGTTCTTAAGAGACACATTGCCTATCTGGGGAATGGTGATGCATGTCTTCAATTCCAGCACTCTGAAGGCAGAGGCAGGCACATCTCTGAATTTGAGGCTAGCCTGGACTACAGAGCGAGTTCCAGGACAACCAGAACTATACAGAGAAACCTTGTCTCAAAAACGTGAACAAACAAACATTACATAATTGGACTATGAAAAGATTTTTCCAAATACTGTTGGCTCAAGAAGTAGATGTATCAACTTAGTAATAGAGCCGAATGAAGAAAAGTAACTTTTAGTGACTTAAAGATGTCTTAATTCATATTTTCTTGCTTCTCTTTTTTTATCTGCTGTGGTAGGAATATGAAATTTCAGATACTCATTACAATTCTTACCTGTTCTGCATTTATTAAGACAGCCTAAAAATGCTATTTTGTTTGGTTAGAGACTTTATGATGAACAAGCCAGCCCAGTTTGAACTATATTGCTTTAAAAATGCAAGGCCTTCATTTTCTCCTTGTGCCATCTTGACTCTAAACCAACCCAGTGTCTCTCATGTACACGGTCCAAAAATATCAGATTAATGTATGTAAGTATTTCACAATTGTGATATGCCTCTAACTTGAAAAGAAACTGAAGTTTTCATAGTTAAACTTTGAACTCAGATATTTGTGTTATTTATACTGTACAAAATATAAGTATCTGAGATTTAATATGTAGATCCAGTGCTTTTGAGTATTGTCTGTATCTAGAATTTTAGAATTCTGACTCAAAAATCACATCTATAGTGCTGCAAGTAATCGCTGTGAAGACAATATCTTAATTTGTTGCTTGTCTCATAAGTAAAATCTATTTTAATTCTATTAAGAAACTATATGGAAAGGGGAAGGTAGAGGGAGAAGTATCCTGCTCAGAGACTATTATTGTCTTTTTGCCTTTTGTATTATTTACATTGTGATTTTTTTTGTATTTTTAGATAAACTGAATATTACTGATTCTGTCATAAATAAAGTCACCGTAAAATCTAGACAAAAAGAAGCAGAATCGTAAGTAATGTTTTCATGAAAAGCATGGTTGGTGAAGCCTGATTTCCTGACTGAGTAGCACAGTTGTTCTGTAAAGGATGCTTATGTGCTCTCATTTATTAGCATATGCTTTTGTAAATCTAATTTTTTTTTTTCCAAGACAGGGCTTCTCTGTTGCTTTGGAGCCTGTCCTGGAACTAGCTCTTGTATACCAGGCTGGCCTTGAACTCACAGAGATCCGCCTGCCTCTGCCTCCTGGTGTGCCACCACCACCTGGCATGTAAACTTAAATGAATCTTAAGTAGTAAAAGTACAATCTTATGAAGTCCGTAAATATGTTTTCATAAGGATAAGTGTTTGTAGATTCCAGTCTAAGTAAGACCTGGCTGATTCTCTCGTGCTAATAACTGGGGTGACCATTGCAGGATAGAATATAATATTAATCCAGTAACAATGTTAAAACTGAACATGAAAATCAGCTTCCCTCTGGTTTATTTCTGTGTCCACGGAGATAGTTACTTTCTGAGTGACACTTGTACTTGGTATTTCATTGGCCTGTCTGTCTGACTCCTTGTGTTTGAACCCTTGTTAGTGTAGGTTAGTGTGTTGGATTGGGTTATCTCGTATATGAGCTGAATCAAATCAAGAGTCTGTCTTTGGCCAGGCGGTGGTGGTGCACACCTTTAATCCCTTTGAAGCCTGTCCTAGAACTCTCTCTGTAGACCAGACTGGCCTCGAACTCACAGAGATCCACCTGCCTCTGCCTCCCGAGTGCTGGGATTAAAGGCATGTGCCACCACCGCCCGGCTACTCACAAATTCTTATTCCCTTACCTCTTCCTCATTCTTTATCTCTTCTCCCCTCTTTCCCTCCCCTCCCCTCCTCTCCCTTTCCTCTGCAAGCATATGTGAAATATATTATATATTACATATATAGCATTATATATGCACACATATATTTGTGTGTGCATATGTGTGCGCGCACATATCTTACCTGTGGGCTCATATGTGAGTGTATGTGACTAAGGATAAAAATGAAAATGGTCCAACAGAAAATTATAAATTGGATTTAAAGCATGAGATTTGTTATTTCTTGATTGCATGGTTCTTGAGTGAGCTTTGTAGATGACGTGTCCTGTGGAAATATCAGAAGTCCTGGGAGATGGTGGGGAGAGGGGGCCATAAAAGTGCTTGTCATGCAAACTTACAACCAGAGTTTGGTCCCTGATGGTGGAAGGAGGAATCTAACTCCCAAACTTCGCTTCTGACCACCATATACAGGGTGGCAATCTCTTATCTACACTTTATTCACATACAAGAATAATAAATGGAAAAAATAAAAACTTTAAAATGAATAGAAATAACAAAAGATTGTGCATGCCTGCTAAGGAGAATTGACTCACGTGCTCAAACTGAAGTTTTATTGAGTAGAAGTGTTTATATCAAGTTAGGATGAAAAATTCTTACGAAAAATTCCTTAAGAATTGTCACAGAATCGTGTCCATTGAGAAGTCTTATTCTGACTTCTCACTGAGTTTTGACTGTCTTTGTTTTTGCTTAGGTGTCGCATTAAAGATAAGTCCGATAGAGCAACTGTGGAACAGGTATGCTTGACATGTGCTGTATGGTTTGAAGTTAGCATTTCTTTGTTCTCTGAAGTGTGTCTTGTTTTTAACTTCCTTGCTTGGTGTTAGTCTCACCTAAAATAACCTCTGAGTAAACAGTTTCAAGTTTAGTGATCGACATTTTGCTGTATAATAGGACCCCTAGTGGATAAAGAGAGCCATGGTCCTTCCATAACCCTTGAAGCTACAGTGCTTCCCCCTTCTCAGAGGTTTGGAAAGCAGAGACTGTCAGACCAGAATCTTTTAAAGCAGCATCTATAGGAATTGTATTCTCTTTTCCATTAAATAGGTTGGATATCTGCTGTGAAATAGGTTGAGTACCTACCTACCATGCATCTGGGGCATATATAGATGGAGGTGGGCGGAAGAGCAGTACCTTCAAATGTCTAACTAGAGACCTCTTTCTTACATGTGCTTTATTCTTTGGAAAGGGTGAGGTGCTAGTCCTGAATTTCTTATGGCCAGCAGGATGTGATGATGTGATTGAAACTTACTTTCATGTGTGTGTATGTGTGTGTGTGTGTGTGTGAGAGAGAGAGAGAGAGACAGAGACAGAGACAGAGACAGAGAGACAGACACAGACAGATACTCTCTGTAGTCCTTGCTGGCCTGAAACTTGCTATTTAGACTATGATACCCTCAAACTCACAGAGATATGCCAGCTTCTTGCCTCCTGAGTGCTGGGATTAACAGTATATATCTCTTGATTTAGACTTTTGATGTGAAGAAAATGATTTTTTTTAAAAAGTTGAGATTATTATTATTGCTACCTTACTTGGGCTCTCTTCTACCCATGTTTATGTACTTTTCCACATTCTGACATAGCAACTTATTGACATAGCAACTTATTGACATAGCAACTTATTGACCTGTTGCTTCTTGACTTAAGATTTAAGCACCCCTCTGTCCTGTACCCCCAAGGAAGTAAAGGCTAATCTGCAGTCTAGAACCAGTTCGTGGAACTGAAGAATTATTGGATATGAAAGAGCTATTTATAATGTTAGCTAATTGTATGTTGTGCTGGTTAGTTTTTTTTTCTTCACTTGCTACAAACTAGAGTCACCTGGGAAAAGGGAACCTTCAGTGAGGAATTGCCTCCATCAGGTTGACTTTGTAGACAAGTCTGTTTGCGAGCCCGCTGTGTATGGTGCCACCCCTGAATAAGTAATCCTGGGTTGTAAAACCATGCAAGCTGAGCAATCTTTGGAAAGCAAGCCAGTCAGCAGCTTTCCTTCATGGTTTCTGCCTTAGTTCCTACATCGTGTTCCTGTCCTGATTTTCCTCAGCGGTGAACTGTTTTCTGGAAGTGTAAGATGAGATAACCCTTTTTCTCCCCAAGTTGTTTTGGTCATTGTGTTTATCACAGCAATAGAAGCCAAACTGAAATGTGTGTATGTGCATGATGGGAGAGGCCGTCCCTGTGCAATGGTGCCTGTATGGAGGTCATAGGGCAACTGGGGTTGGTTCTATCCCTCCACCTTTATGTGGGTGGGTTCTGGGTGGCAGGTACCTTTCACTGTGCCATCTTGATCACCCTGGGTATGTACTTTAATTGTCCTATAGTTTATTATAATTTATTATTATCACTGAAGCCACCTTGATCACCCTGGTGATTATTGTCCTATAATTTATTTCGTCTGATTTGTTTTCAGGACTGTACTTAAAAACAAACAAACTAAAAAAACCTTTTCTTTTTAGGTTTTGGATCCCAGGACAAGAATGATTTTATTCAAGATGTTGGATAAAAAAGACATATCAGAGATACATGGCTGTATTAGCACCGGAAAAGAAGTGAGCTTGTGTTGGGATGGCAGTGTTTTCATGTTAGTTTTTGTATTTCAAATACCAGGGAAAACTAAGGCACTTTTAATTTGTACCTTTAAAAAGAAAGGAAAGCTGAGCAATGTGACACACACCTTTGATCCCATTACTCAAGAGGCAGAGGCAGGTAGATCTCTGTGAGTTCCAGGGTAGCATGGTATACATAGTAAATTCCAGGCCAGTTGGAGCTACATAGAGAAATCTTGTCTCAAAAAAGAAAGAAAGCTACACACATCAGATAGTTTATTAACAATATTTCTAGAAATTATGTTGCTTGATAGTTAGTTGATATGAAATTGTTTGTGTACTTTACCCTGATCACTGTATTGTATCGCTGAGTCTGTGCTCAGCAGTGAGCTTCAATTTTCAAAGATCACAGTGGTCCTGAGTTCCCTTTAATATTGCTATTAATGAATGAAAGTTGTTGATTCATTGCTGTGAGCCAGTCTTTCATGTTCCTTTATTTGCAAGTTCAGAAGAAGACAAGTGTGACTTTTAAAAAACAATATAGTAGTTACTTTTCTATTGCTATAATAAAATCCATAACCAAGAATATCTTAAGGAAGAAAGTTTATTTTGGTTTAGGGTTCCAGATGATTAGAGTCCTTAATGGCAGGGAGGAGGCATGGCAGGCAGCGAATGGGAAGTAGAGAGTGAACTAGAAGTGGGCCCAGGCTGCTAATCCTCCAAGCCTGCCTCCAGCAACATTCTATATCAGCTTCCTAAAAGTTCTAGAAGCTCCACAAACAGCACCATCAATGGGACCAGTGTTCAAATCCATGAGTGTACAGAGGTCATTTCTTGTTCAAACCATCACAATTAGCAGTTCATTCTATGGGAATTAATTAGATCTAAAAAATTTTTATTAGAGATAAATGTGTGAAACCAATTACACTGAAATTGGACTTTTCTATCTGCAGTATGCCTCATGTAACAATAGTTTACATTCAGAGAAATGAGTCATTAAGCAGTTTCCTGCAGTAGAAAACCTAAGGTGTCTATGACATCACTATAGGTAATGAAGTCTTATGGAACCCCTCTGGTATATGGGGCCCATCATTGACCAGAACATAATATGTTGGCATAAGAATGTATGCCAGAGGTATAGTTATTATGATAGAGTGTTTATATTTTAATCCACACCTTCCAGAGATGCAAGTGATGCAGATGTTGTTTCAGTTTGTTTTTGAGGTTAAAATCAACTGGAAAACTGATATTAGTTATTTAACACATGCTTAATTTCCTTTGTTTTTGCTTAAAATAGGCTAATGTATACTATGCTACCACAGACAGTGGAGAGAGCAGAGCAATCAAAATATACAAAACTTCTATTTTGGTGTTCAAAGATCGTGATAAGTATGTAACCGGAGAATTTAGGTGAGTCCAGGTTCTTGAATTGCTTTTTCCTCAAGTGCTAAAATAGTATAATGCAGTGATTAAAGTAACACATGTTTTCTTGCTCCAGATTTCGTCGTGGCTATTGTAAAGGAAACCCTAGAAAAATGGTGAAGACATGGGCAGAAAAGGAAATGAGGAATTTATCCAGGTGAGTGGTGGTGCATGGTTTGGAGGGGGTGCACATGCTTGACAGTGTCTGTCTGTGTATCTGTGTCCTGCCCTTTCCAAGCAGAGGGGGAGTCATTAGACCATGGAGCTCTCTATTCCATATGCTTAACTAAGCAGAAGAATTCTGCTTTCTGAAGAGTCTGAGGCCATGCGAAAGCATGTAGAGTTTATTCTGAAGATGAGGCGTTTACAGGAATTCAGACAGTAGTTAGTGACACGGTGATGACAATTCTGTCATATAAAAATTATAGGAATTTTAACTAGATTTTATCAGGCCCTAAGCTCTTTGGCTAATCACTTGCTTTTCTTACTTAGTCCAATTTGGGACACATTCATGTAGTCATTTTGCCATAACTACAGTAAAAAAGGACACTTGCCTAGTTTTCTCAAAAGTTTTTATAATTGTTATATATGAGTATAACAATTATATAAATGTTATATATATATAACAATTTTTTAATTGTTTTATATAAGTATAATCTGCTGTTAAGCTGGTACAATTTGTTTTGGAAGACCTTTGAAATCTTCCTACATCCTAGTTAGCCACTAGGCGTTTGTCCAGTGATTTTATTTTTGAGATTAGTAAACTCAAAAGATAATTGTTGACATAGTTGCTATGCCTTATCAATTCTAAGATGTACTATTTTTTTTCATAGTTTAACATTTTTAGAAATGGATTGGGTGTCACAGGCTATGGGATTTAATTGTTTATCAGTGTTTTGATGTTCTTGGTAGCACACCATACTGCCACTGAAAACCACTGGTTTATGAAAGCGATCTAGTTGAGAGGACTGGGTGGGTACTGCTTCCTAACAGAGTATTCATGCCATGGTCTGTAGCTGCTGTAATTTGCTTATATGTCTTTTGACTTTCCAGTTTTCCTATTATCTACATCACAGGCTAACAACAGCAAACATACCATGTCCTAAACCAATCAAGCTAAGAAGTCATGTTCTTCTCATGGGCTTCATTGGTAAAGATGACATGTAAGTACATGGAAGGTCAAAGAATTTTATGGTGAAACTGTATTTTAAGTCCTGTGAGCTATGTACTGGATTAAGTATTTCCCGTAGTTCTTCCAGGAGTCTTTCCTACTGTGTGCACACAACTGTTATGATTTACCATTGTGAAGCTTCACAGTACTCCAGAATAACAAAGTTAACCTTGTTTCTGAGGTTTGTTTAGTTTATTAAAGTGCTGGAAAGTACCTGTAATTGCCAGTGTTTTAGAGTGGTGTGCATTACTCCATAGTCAGTTCACATGACAAATTACAATAAGAGGTGCATGTAACTATAGAATAAGACAAGAAAACTTGATCTTTATAATTTTATTGTCGTTCTTTTTTTTTACTTGAGACCTGCACCACTTTTGAAAAACGTCCATTTGTCAGAATCGAAGGCCCGGGAGTTGTACCTGCAAGTCATTCAGTACATGAGGAAAATGTATCAGGACGCTAGACTTGTCCATGCGGATCTCAGTGAATTCAACATGCTGTGAGTGTGGTTTGCTACCAGGAAAGTTCTGCTTCATTATGGCATGTCCTTCAAAAAGTCCAAATCGATAAAGTCATGCTGTACCCTGTTGGTTTCCCATGGCAGGAATTAAGATGTGGTCACTGTCTTCAGTCACCTTAGTTACAGAGTAGACCACTGGGAAGGACTGAGGTTGTAGCTTGGTTGGTAGAACAAGTGTCTACAATGTGTGTGGGAGGTGTTGGATTTCATCCCCAGCAGAGGGGGTGCATTTTTAGCCGACTTAATGGGCTTTGAAATTTTCTTAGTTTTTATCTTTATATTAGTCAAGATAACCCTTTCTTACCTGCCATAGTCATTATGAATTACTTAAGGTGAATGTTTTTGGTTTTTTTAAAACTAGATATGGTAGTGCATGCCTGTAATGTCAGCGTTTGTGATGCTGAGGCAAGAAGACTAAGAGTTTGAGTTCAAAACAAAGAACAGAATCAATTTATTTTATTTTTTTTTTTTCTATTTTGGAGACAGGGTCTCTCTACATAGCTTGGCTGTACTAGAACTCACTTTGTAGATCAGGCTGGCCTCGAACTCTACCTCACGAGTGTTGGGATTAATGTGCTGGGTGTGTGTACTACAACCTAAAAATGTATAGTCTAGGTTAGCCTTGAGTTCTGACCTAATCTTCTCAGCTTTGCCTCCTTCAGCAAATTCTTCCATTGTGTGCCACCACAACCAGCTTCAGAATAGATTTTAAAAAAACCAAAAAACAAAAATATAATAGTAACTTGTAATCTTGTTCTTACTGCGTACCAGGTACCATGGTGGAGATGTGTACATCATTGATGTTTCTCAGTCTGTGGAGCATGATCACCCACATGCATTGGAGTTCTTGAGAAAAGACTGTGCGAATGTCAATGGTGAGTAGAAAGTGGGATTTCCTGATAGCATCTATGCGTGTGTGCATAGGATAAGGTCTTGTCACTCGGAGTAGAAATGTAGCCTGGCATTAGAACACTGTGCTTGCCTCTCTCGTGGAAAACCTTGCATTTGATCCCCAGCACTGACAAACAAGTGCTGTTTAATTGTCCAGTGCAGTGCCACTTAGACCATTGGCTGGAGACGGTGCACTCTTCTTCCTTTTCCTGTTCACTAATTGGGGTAGTAACTATTCCCCTTGCAGAGCTGTAGGTAATGTTTTTCTTCTGACAGATTTCTTTTTCAAATATGCTGTCGCTGTGATGACTGTTCGGGAGCTCTTCGAGTTTGTTACGGACCCTTCCATCACCCTTGAGAACATGGATGCTTATCTTGAAAAGGTAGGCTGGGCTGAGGAGAGGAGGAAGTATGACTTGCCTTTGTGTGCACATCTGAGGGATTGGGGTTACTTAGTATAATTATTCATTTCCAGAACTTGTTAGCACTTCTCATCTCACAGTGAAATTAGAAACAGCAAAGATGTCAGTAATGCCAGGTTTCTTGACTTTACTCAACTGACAGGGTTACAGAGATTGTCAACTTCCATGAATGTTAGTAAGAAAATTGCCAGGTTGTGTGGCAAAATATGCATGGCATTAAGTACTAAGCATTGAATACTGTGCACACCACTAGTTTTCTTAAATCATCAAACATTGAACCTGTGCTCCCCTGCCCCCCAGCTCCTGAAAACTACCATTCTGCTGTCATTGAGCTACTCTTGATACTGCTAATAAGTGCAATCACGTACTGTTTGTCCTTTTTTTTAAGTTTAAAAATTTTTCACTTTTTATTTGCATGTATATATGTGTGTTTGTGTGATTGTATGCTACATGTGTGTGGATGCCAAAGGAGGCCCAAAGAAGGTATTGGATCCCCTGGAGCTGGACTTACAGGTGGTTATGAGCCACCTGAAGTGAGTGTTGGGAACCAAACTCAGGTCCTTTGGAAGAGATGCCAGCACTCTTAACTATTGAGCCACCTCTCAGCTCTTTGTAGCTGGCTTATTTTACTTACCGTGCTCAGTGTTCATCTGTGTTCTAGTGTGTGCGATAATACTCTATTTTGTGGACCATAATTTGTCTATTTTCTCATCCATCAGTGGGCATTTGGGCTCTACCATGTTTCAGTTGTCAGGAATAATACAGGTGAGAATATGAGCATACAAATATCTCTGAGTTTTGAGGGCCTGCTGTTGACTGCTGTTTGCAGTTATGCTGACACTGTGCAAGGCTTCCAGTTGCTCTGTATCCTGGCTGCACTGATTGTCCTCTCATCTTGTCCTTACCCGTCCTAAGGGGTGTAAGGTGGCATCTTATTATGAATGTGCTGAATGTTTCTCTAATGAGTGACACTAAATATCTTCTTAGGTTTCTCTTGGAGAAATGCCTGTTCCATACTTTCCCTTCTTTAAGTAGATTGTTTGTCTTCTGAACCCTGCCTGTTTCCTTTTCATCAATCCTGAGCTGCAGCATTTTCTTCTGCCTGTGCATTGCCTTTTCCCCCGCTCCTGTTGAGTGTACCGTTTTGTCCCTAAACAGAAGTTTTATATTTTGATATAGTCCATTTATCTCTTGTTATTCTTGGCACTTCTGAGTCAGGGTTTTCATGCTTCCCCTTTCCCTTGGAGTGCCTTTTCATCTTGCTTTTCCTGGTGAATATTAAAACTCAGGTCAGAAAGCTATCTCAAGGGAAAAATCAGGATAAACACTGTTTTCAGGGGTATTGTTTTCTCTTAATTTTTTTTTTTGAGTCACTGTTTCCTGTATCCAGGCTGCCTCTGTGTATAGCCAAGGATGAATTTGAGTGTGTGATTCTCCTGCCTCTGTCTGCTGAGTTCTGAGATTTTAATTGTGCACTACTACACCCAGTTTATGCGGTACTGGGACCAAGCCTGGACTTGGTGTGTGCTGTGCTAGCATTCTTAACAACTGAGCACATCTTAAGCCCTCTTACTTGGTTGGTCTCTTTGTGAGGTGTTTGTTTCTTTGAAATAGGTCTTACTCTGTAGCCCAGGCTGACCTGACTTTATACTCCTCCTGCTTCTGCCTGTTAAGTCCTGGGGTCATAGCTGTCCACCCCACCATGTTTGGCAGATTATGAACTCTTGAGGAACAGAAATTTTATTTGTATGTAGTCAGTACCTGATTATGTACTAGACAACTACATGTTGTCTTACGATTTCTATTGCTATGAAGAGACACCCTGACCATGGCAACTCTTACAGAGGGAAACATTTAATTGGGTCTGGCTTATAGTTCAGAGCTTTAGTCCATTATCATCATGGAGGGTAATATGGCAGTACACAGGCGGACGTGGTGCTAGAGATGTAGCTGGTACATCCAGATCGGCAACAGCAGGAACAGACACACTGGGCCTGGCTTGAGCTTCTGAAACCTCTAGGCAACACCCCCAGAGACACACTTTCTAAAACAAGGCTAGACCTACTCCAACAAGGCCACATATCCTAATCCTTCCAAATAATGCCACTCCCTATGAGCTATGGAGGCCATTTTCAATTCAAACCACCAAACATGTATTGACTGAGTAACTTATCAAAGTATTTTTATTCCTAAACCATTAGTATTGAGTCTAATCTATATATTAAAATATAGAGAATAATGTTCTTTCCTTCTGTATATATTTCTAAAAGATACATTTTTATTTTAATTATGTGTACTTGTTTGTATGTGCATGTGTGTGTAGATGCTTACATAGGCCAGAGGCATTAGATGCCCTGGGAGCTGGTGTGACAGACACTGTGAGTTCCCCAATGTGGATGTTGGGAATTGAACTCTGATCCTCTGGAAGAATAATAATGCTCTTAACCAATGAGACACCTCTGGCCCTCTGCTGTATGTATTTTAACTAAAGGCTGTTTAATCAGTGAGAAGAATCCTGTATAGGGTCTTCGTCACCTCTGTTTCAGTCAGTGTTTGCCCAAGGGGCTTTCTTGGTGATTTATACTGTAGTGGCATTAGGGCCACATAGTTAGCTTCCTTGGGATTCATTTCACTGACTTTTCAAGAATTAAGAAGTGGTTCATGTCATTAGTGGTTCAATCAATTAGTGGTCACACACCTTTAACCCCAGCACTTGGAAGGCGAATCTCTGAGTTTGAGGTCAGCCAAGGCTATACAGAGAAACCCTTTCTTGAAAAACCAAAAAACAGAAAAAGGAGAAATGATTCATTGTTGGGTCTCAGGTTTTCTCTGATAGAGATTTTTGCTAATAGTTTAAAAATAAGTTTATAAAAAGCTTTGTTTCCTAGTTGTCTTGGCCATGAGTTGGGTGTGGTTATGAGTGATGCCGGCCCTGGCATGCGGAGCTTTACATAGCCTAGGCTAGTGCTCACAACCGAGCTGCACCCCAGTGCTGATCTTGAAGAACTGGGATGTGGGGCTTCGGATAGCCTGGGCTAGTGCTCACAACTGAGCTGCACCCCAGTGCTGATCTATAGAAGGGGACTGAAGATACAACTAACAGGATTTATTGTTTCTTTCTAAATGGCTGACAAGTCTTTAGTAGAGAGCCAGCCTACATTGTAGAAGCTCGCCTTAAAGTACTTTCAGAAGTGTGACGACATGACATCTGTTAAGATTAAAAAACAATAGTTCATTACAAAATAGAAAATGTGTCTTTTCTAGGGTGAGGGTAAAGGAAAATAATTTTTTTGCTTTTTCTCAAAGGCCATGGAAATAGCATCCCAAAGAACCAAGGAAGAAAAGACTAGCCAAGATCAAGTGGACGAAGAGGTGGGGTTTATTATGTATCCACAGCCTTGGGGAATACTTGGGTTTACTATGGAATTGTGAGATATTCTGTCGTATGTTTGGAGGCAGGGTATTTTCATATAAGCCTAGAGCTTGTCTTAGCTTCTTATGTAGTACAGGCTGGCCTCAAACTCACACTCATTCTGCTTTAGGTGCCTGATTGATAGAATGACAGATATGTGCCATCATACCCAGCTAATTCTTGAATTACAGTGTTTTGTATGGTTTTGATTTCGTTGGTAAGGCATGGATTTGATTTTATAGGTACATGGTATATAATTTACATTCAGTCATATTGTTGCACTCAGCAACCTCTTAGCCTGTTGTTTAGGTGAAGTTTGGAAAGAGCTTGTGGGGGTACAAGAGTCAAGAAGGAAAAGACTTAATTTGCAAGTATGAATTTTTAAATGACTTACATACTGATTTTATAAATATAACAGACTTTAAATATTGATACTCCATTAAAAAATAAAATCAAACTAGTCCTAAGAAGTCAAGACATCTTTATTAAGATCCACAGTAGGCTTATTACTATATTTATTATTTTAATTGTAGTTTATTTCACTCAGAAGTTTTGTAGCAGCTGAGTGGTGATGCCCTACATAGTAAGAATATGTGTGTATTCAGTTCTAACAGGCAGGCAGTCCTTGCTAACTGTAACTCCATTCTGTCCTTCCTCTCAGAAGATGCTTTTTGAAATTAGATTATATGGGAGGAATGTTATTCTAAAGATCATCGGGAATAGACTCTTTTTTTTCTTTCTAAGATTAATTGTAAAATTTTATTTTTATTTTATCAAATCGTTTTTAGCTTACCAAATAGTACACACCAATGTAGACACAAATTGACTGAAAGTCAGTGTTGGAGATGAAATGCAGATTTCTGCATGATTGATAGAACTAGGTAAGAATACTGAAGGAATGCAGGAGTAAAGGAATAATAGTTTAATTTTGCTCTCGTCTATTAGGTGTTCAAGCAAGCATATATTCCCAGAACCTTGAATGAAGTGAAAAATTATGAGAGAGATGTGGATATAATGATGAGGTTGAAGGAAGAAGACATGGCTTTGAATACTCAACAAGATAATGTGAGTAGCTAGGTTTGTCTGTAGAGACAGTTCTAACAAAAGAGGCTGTCCCGATCTTAATCCTGGCTTGGTGCTAGTGAGGTGGTCAGCCCCCTGTGTATAAACATGCTTCCATTCCCAGTGGCTGTAAAGGGAATACTTCTGGATTTAAGAGGGGGTGATGCATTTTCATGTATTCAGGGAACTATAATTAGTAAAATGATAGATTCACAAGAAGTCTAGGATAAAAATGGCTGTCGTAGATTGTTACGCTATGCTTCATTTTCATACACATTTGGAGAGAAAAAAATATTTAGATTATTTTAAATTATGTGTGTATGTGGTGGGGGGTATGTGCAGATGAATGAATGCGGGTGTCCTTGGAAGCCAGAGGTGTTGGTTTCTGAAGCTGGAGTTAAGAAGGGGTTGTAAGCCTTCCCACATAGGTGCTGGGAAACACACTTGAGTCCTCTACACGAGCAGAACAAGTTCTTAGCCCCTGTACATCTCTCCAGTCCCCTTGAAATATTTTTTTAGCATACCAGAAAGTAAATCCTTGAGCCTTTGCAGCCATGTAGAAAAACTTAGCTGGTTATGTAAGCCTTTATATAAAGGCATAAGAAGTGGTCACCAGATTTTCATGAATGAAACAAAAGCATTTTAAAAAATGTACTATGTGTGTGAGCGCACACATGCCGTGGTGCCCATAGGAAGGCCAGGGGACAGCTTTGTCAGATCTCTCTCTCCACCTTTGACTCCTGAGTAGTGTACTCAGGCTTTCACGGCAGGTGCCTTTATCTCTGAGATAGCTCTCTGGCCTAAACGCACTCTAAAATTAAATGTGTTTGTGATCAAGTGTACACATCTGTGTATGCATTCAGACCAGAAGAGGGTGTTGGCCCTTGTTACTCTCTGAGCCCTTGGATATAAGTTCTGGGATCCTAATTCTGTCCTCATGATTGAGCAACTTGCACTCTTAACCACTGAGCCATCTTTCTAGCTCCTCGAAAGCCCTTTTAGTAATTACCATACATGTAGATATACTAATGAGAGTTGAGTAGGGCTGTTTGTGGAATGGGTAATATTTCACCAAATAAAGTTCAAAGTTAGTGTTTGCTGCCACCTGTTGGGTTGCGAGCTCATCTGAAAACTATTAGACTTAGATTGTATTGGGCCTGTGGGCACACATGGTTGGCACACAAGAACCATGCAGGCAACTTTCAGTGTAACTATGTGATAGATTTAGAGTACATTCGCAGAATCACAGGAGACAGTGTTTAATAGTGCATACCATTGTTAATTTTTATATTTAATCTTTTTCTTTTCTTTTCTTTTTTTTTTTAAACAAGATTCTATACCAGACTGTCACGGGATTGAAAAAAGATTTGTCAGGAGTCCAGAAGGTATGGAGAATATGTGTTATTATTGCTTTATAATGCATTGTTTTTGAGCATGTGCTTATAAGTATGCCACAGCACATGTGTGATGGGTAGCCGGAAGACGACTTTGGGGAGTTGACCCTCCCTACCTTCTAGGTCTTTGGGATCCTGATGAGCCATCTTGCCAGCCTATGGAAGCTATTTTTAAAAGATACAAAACTTACTGTAAAGTGGTATTCGAATTAAATTTGAAAATGAGCCTTTTTTTTTTTTTTTGTCTCTGAATTCTTCTGTTAAAAGTGAAAAATGTAGGCCAGCCTGGTCTACAAGAGCTAGTTCCAAGACAGGCTCCAAAGCTACAGAGAAGCCCTGTCTCGAAAAACCAAAAAACAAACAAACAAAAGTGAAATATTTGTCCTTAATCCTGATCTGCATTTGTGTGGGGTAATACTGATTACCATACACTTTGTTTTGATAGTTTTTATAATAAGTTTTGGAAATTGTCAGGGCTAGGGAGATGGCTCAGCAGTTAAGAGCTCTTGCGGTTTTTCAGAGGACCTGTGCTTAGTTACCATCACTCACCCACTTACCTGTAAGACAAAAAAAATGGAAAGTTTAAGGTTATCCTGGACTATGTGATGAGATTCTGTTTTGAACAAGAAAAAAGTGAAATAAATGTAAATTTCAGGGATAATGAAACTTTCTCTTGCTTGACTATTCATTTGATTAGATTAGCTTATTGCTAGTAATGTGGTTCATAGAAAAACAGCTCTAAAGTCATCCAGCTAGATCTTTATTATTATCATTGTCGTCGTCATCATCATCATCATCATCATCATCATCATCATCATCATCATCTGCCTCATATCTTTTCTAAATCACAACTCAGCATCTGGCTTGCTAAAAGCAGCATCAGACTTATGTTATTGATTGAGATCACCTGTATTATCCTAGTAATCAGGCATGTGCCCAGCCTTTGACAGTGGACCACCTGCGTGCCAGGATAGCAGTGAATATAGCCCCATACATTTGTAGATGGTAGCATCATGTTACAGTGTCAGAAGATTGAACACCTGTGCTAGATCCTTTATTTGTGTGTTCTTGAGTCCTACTGGAGTGAATGGATGTTGTCTGCCTTTCTCCCCAATGTTGATTCTGCTATTTGGATGTTTTGGTGTATCTGGCATACTGATGTAAAATGGTAGCATTAACATGTTGACTAACAGATAAGTAACTGTCTCCAAGTAACGTGGTTCTATAACTTCAAGGTCCCTGCACTTCTAGAAAGTGAAGTTAAGGAAGAGACTTGTGATTCAGAAGATGCTGGAAGTTCCGAGTGCTCTGACACAGACTCCGAAAAGCAGGGAGATAATGTCCAACGCAAGAAACACACTGCTGACCCTGACATTGATAAAAAGGTTACTTAAGATCTTCACTTTTTTTTAGGGTGGTGATTTTGAAGCATCAATAATACCTTGGTTGGTTGGTTGTTTTCCGAGACAAGGTTTCTCTGTGTAGCCCTGGGTATCCTGGAACTAACTCTGTAGACCAGGCTGGCCTCGAACTCATAGAGAGCTACCTGCCTCTGTCTCCCAATTGCTGGGATTAAAGGTATGGGTTATCACCAAAGGAGATCAATAGTGCCTTTAATTGTAGTTTTCATAACTAAATGTGAACTTTACTTTTGGAGTAAATTAAAGAGTTGGCTGCTATTAGGGCTTCTTCAGAATCGCACATACAGATGACGTGATGTCTGCCTACTAGAAGCAAATACTTGTTTCTGTCTAATCTTTATTACTTTTAAAATATGGGGCTTGTGAACGTGAAGTAACTAACATACAGGATATTGATTTGACTCTGCAATTTCAGCAGAGTTCAAGGATCAGGATGTAGTTTAGTGGTAGATGGGTTGGTGCTATAGTAGGGGGCTGGGGGGGGACACACAGACAGAAAAATAATCTGCATATGAAGGCAGGCAGCTATCATCCCAGCACTTGGGAAGCGGAAAGGTGTGTGTGTGTCTGTGTGTGTGTGTGTGTGTCTGTGTGTGTGTGTGTGTGTGTGTGTGTAATAAAAGTCTGGACAGCAAAGTAAGACTGTCTTGAGGGAGTGAAGAAGGCAGAGATTTTTGGGGTGTGGGGTGGGAATGAGGTGAGATGGAAGGCACCTCAAAGAAAAGTTGTACCCCAAGGTTCACCAGCCTGTAATTGCTATTTTTATGCTACATTTACTTTTATCCTGTTAACGTAAGAATTTTAATTCAGTTCTAATAATAGTTTAAATACTCTGAGTGAATGAAATTTGTTGGGAATGTGTTGTTTGCTTTTTACAGGAAAGAAAAAAGATGGTCAAGGAAGCCCAGAGAGAGAAGAGGAAAAGTAAAATCCCTAAACATGTGAAAAAAAGAAAAGAAAAAACAGCCAAGGCCAAGAAAGGCAAATAGAATGCAGAGCCGTGTTGTGGACATTCCTCAGCTACTTTCTAAACCTCAGGTAGAAGCTGTAGCTGGAGGACGGCTTCTTGACTGCACCTGAGTCTCTACCATCTCTTCCTTTGGGGACGACTGCAGTGTGGCCGTGATTGCCTCAAAAGCCCAAAGCCCACAATGTCGGGATCCAGCCACTGGCTCTGCTTTTAATAGATTAAAGTACTATTTTAATGAAGAACTTTGTACACTTTATTTTTATATATTTTCTCCTGCAAACTTTTTCAAAAGCATCGTAAATATTTAAATGTGACCATCCACAACTTTTATAAAAGTGAACATAAAGGCATTTGGACAGACTTGGGAATATTTGTTTTCTTTGTACATGCTGAAGACATGTCTGAAATCAACTGATTTCCACGCTGTGACATTTAGCCTGGAGTTCCACTTGTAAGAGAAGTCATGTGGCCACGATGTTGATGTTCACAGCAGCTCTGTTCTTGTCATATGATCCCACTTCATCTTTAATATGTCTTTTCTAGCTAGACCTCATCTCATCAGCCATTTCACATTCAGCCATTTGTCATGTTCATTTGAGCATCTAACATTTAAGGTACTGGGATATATCAGTGAATAAAATAAAATTACTTCCTTTGAATTGTTTGTATTCTTATAGAAAAATAAGTAACATTCTTCAAAGAGGTTATAAATTATATATAGAGAAATAATGCTGAATAACGAGACTGCCTAGGGAGACTGGCCACACAGTGAGATACTTGACAACATTCTTGAAGCTGAGTCACACTGAGCTTTCTGGCGCTGCAATGGCTAAATGGAAGGATTCTAAGTTCTGGCCAGCCTGGGCTACTTAAACAGATGAGGATACAAACAACCAAGCCAAGTCAGGCGCATAAGAACACATAAGCAAAGCAAGAAGCCAGGGGAAATGCCCTGCAGCAAAGGATGTCTACAGCATCCAAATCAAGGGGTGGGAATTGTCACGAGATCTGATGGAGTTTTCAGCAGAGGAGTGACAGGATTATACTTGTATTTTGAAAGCATCACTCTGGCGTCTGGAGAATTGCGGAGTTGGAAGGTGATTGATTGACTATGCTTGCCAGCCCAGGTGAAGGATGCTGGGAGCTTGGCTTAGGTTGCTAGAAGTGGATGTGGAGTTTGTGTAAGGGAACAAATGAGTTAGAACAGAATAGTAAAAGGTGACTTCAGAGGTTTGTGATCCAAGAAGCCACTGCGACCACTGGAGTCACTGATGAGAGAGGCGTGTGGGTGGGGTAGACTTCCTGGTAGGATCATTGTGCCAGATACCCTACACAGCAGCCAGGTTTTCTACTAAGATGCAGCTTTCAGCTACTTGTTTGTGGTGAGTTACAGTGGGGACCAAATGAACTCTGATCGTAAGTTCAGAACATTCCCCTTTCTACTTTAAAGTCCACACTGTGAAATGGGGCTTCAGTGAAACACAAAAGTCGTCCTAAAAAAGCCCAGTTTACAGTGCTGAGAGCAAGCTTACCAGCTCTGCACAGTCATCTTCCATGTCTTCTGATTCACTTAGACACGTTTATGTAGATTCGTATTTTATCTTTAAAACGTAACTTCTGTTGTCCCAGCATTAAGGTTAAACCATGTGGACTCAAAGCTAAGTCAAAGCAGAATTGTACCTCCTGGTTTGGACCTACCTGGTGTAAGTTGTCATTAGAAATGTCTTGTTATGGTTTAGATCCTAAATGTCCCTCAAAAGCCATATGTTAAAAGCTTGATCCCAAGTTGATAGGGGTATTCCTGAGTAAGGGTAGAATGGGGAGGGGGGCTGAGGTTACTGAGGGTGCTCTTGCTGGAACATTGGATCCTGTTGCTTTCCTCTGCTTCCTGGCCACAGTGATACAAGCAGCTTTCCTTCGTCGGTGCCTTAACCTGCTGCTGCCTCACCACAGGCGACACGAGTCAGAACGAATGTTTCTGTTAGTTTCTTTAGTCTTATTCCTTCATCCACCTTAACTCAGGCACGTTTACTACAGGTACTCATTGCTACTATTAAACTCTATCTGGTATTTTGCACAGCCACAAGAAACTTAACACGGACCCTTTGCATTATGAAATTCAGACTTCACTTATGGACAAAGCTAGGAAACTTGTATGTTCAGAATAGCATTTTCAGTTTTACCCAATCTTCAGTTTTAAAACAGAATTGACCAGTCATGATGACACACTATTTAATCCCAGCACTGGGGAGGCAGAGGCAGGTTGATTAGGAGCCAGTCTGGTCTACATAACATGCTCAGTCCAGCTAGGGCTATGTAGTCACCGACTCAGTGAGGCCCTTCCTATTCACTTGGTTTCATACTGTTTTCTGTGTCCCTGCGCTCCTGCAAACGTTATCATTCATTATTTCTCTATATCTCCCAATGACAAAGTAACTTGCATATTGAATTTACTTACATATATATCCTCAGACCAGACTTTAAACTCACAAGGGCAGGGATTTGTCTTTGTTATTTCGTATCTCGGCACCTGTCCTATGCTGAGATACAGTTAACCCAGTAGATGTTTAAGTGATGTTATTCTGTTAACTAAGCAAAGATGATGTCACACATGCCTCTTGCTCATAAAGATGGAAATTAGAAATTGGTGTGGTCAGTGTGCACCCTTCAGACTTGAAATAAGGCCATCTGGATACCACAGAAAGTGCTCAACCTAAAAGCTTAGTCCACTTTAATCCCAGTACAGAAGTAGATGGGAATGAGGCAGTCCAGTCCATATTCTGATGCCTTGGCATGGAACATGAGCAAGACTTTCTGAGGGTTGGGGTGCCAACTCTAGTCTTTAGCTCCCTTACTTGTTCTGGGGAGCCACTTCCCTTTGGGGAAGAAGTCCTCATGTGTAAATTGTGGGACTTGGACCGAATGATCACAAAACTGTCATCTAAAATTCTCTCGTTTGCAATGTTTCATGGAGCCCAGGCTGGCTTCTAGCTCCTGTGTAATCAGGAATGGTCTTAACTTCTGATCCTTCTGCTTTCGATTCTTACCCAAGTGCTCAGAGTGGAAGTGAGGCACCACACCCTGCTGTCTGCAGACTAGGAGAATGGAGCCCATAAACGAGGTGACTAAGGTGTCGCGCAGTAGCCAACTCTACACTCTGAGGGTTAAGAGGAATCACGTGAGTAAAGCGTCCAGTCACAAACATGTTTCCAGAGGCGTAGGACCAAGTAGCAGTGGCCAGCTGTGGCAAGTAATCTCAAGCACATGCTCCTGTCTGCTGCACCCGGAGGGACACTCGAAAGCCCAGTGCAAGATCAATGCCGTGGTTGGAAGAAACTGAGGTCACAGACTCTTGTTTCTAGGAGTTTTTTCACAAGCTTTCAGAAACCTCAGATGACTCCATTCTTGGACCGTGTTCTGACATCCTGTTGTATACAGTGTTGGGATTAAACCCAGGGCTCCCCACAGGAGTAACAGCCTTTACCCTGCTCTGGGAATGCTGTTCATTGTTCTTGCAGTCATTTTGTTCCACTAGAGGGAGACATGGTACTGAGTGCTAATGTTTAACCGGTATGACTGGCAGCAGATGCACTGAGTGGGAGACCTGTACTCACAGGGGGCACAGTAGCCGGGTTTATCACTTTACTTTCCCCTAAAGACTCATTGGCCCAATAATGGCACATTTGGTGCTCGGCTTCTAAATTAGTACCAGCCTAGAACCCCTGACAGTTATTCCTCAGTATATACTTTGCAGAAGTTGTAGCTAATCAAGCTGTGGTAGAGCACACCTCAATCTCAGCTCTTGGGACAAGGGCAGGGCAGCCACATGTTGGTGGTTAGCCAAGATCAAACTGTGTCTCAAAACCACAACAACAGAAGTGGGTTTTTCCCTTGGAAATAATGCCCATTTAATAAGATGTTTACAGAAACACACCCACGAAGGGCCATAGGCTCGGTGTAATGTGCTGTTCACTTGCGGGTTCTTCATCTTGCCTTGGTTTCCCTTCTCAGCTATCAAACCAAGACCAAATGGAGAACGGCTTAGAGGCTGTGCTGTTCGGGAGCCGCAGTGCACAGGGGCATAGCTAGTTGGAAAAGACACAATGAAGAAACAGTAATCTGTTACTGTTGAGTATTTGTCAAAATGATATTTCCCATATGCTGGGATGGGACAATATTAACACTGAAATCCATATGTGGGTGCAGGTTGGAAGACTCTGTGAATAAAGGGGCCTGCTTGGCAAACCTGACAGCCTAGTTTAGTCCCTGGATCCCATCCTGGAAGGAAAGAACTGATTCTTAAAAGTTTCCCTCTGACCTCTGCATGTGTGCTATGGCACATGCCTGTTCTCCCCACTATATGTGTGTGTGTGTGTATGTATATATGCACACACACACTATATATATACACCACACGTATATAGTATATATGTCATATCAGTATATGTCATATATATACTATGCAGTATATATATATAGCACATATATAGTAATTTTAAGTAATTCTCTATGCAGGGATTTTGTATATACATTAATAGGAAGAAACAGGGTTTTCCTCAATCTGTATAAGCCAATTCACTGCACTTTTCAACTTTTTTATTAAAGAATCTTAATTACTAAAGAATAAAGGTAGCAAAATGGTTCAATTGCCTTTAATAGCTTTTTAAATACAGGCAGGCTATATGTACAATGTATGAAAGAAAATAGGGCTTCTTAAAAAAAATAAGACATGAAGTAGAGATTGAGTATCTTATTTAAAATACCTTGGATCAGAAATGTAAGGTTTTTCGATTTTGCATTTTTGCATAGACAGGTTGAACATTCTGATTCAAAATTGGAAATTTTTCATTTTGTCATTGTGAAAAAACTCAGATTTTGGAGCATTTCCAATTTGGGGGACTCACATTGTTCTCTGTTTCTTCTGGAATACTTTGTTAGCCTGTTGATTTACTCAGATTCTTTTGTCAAAAGTTGTTAGGGAAGACAGGTTAGAAAGATGGCTCAACGATTCTGAGCACTGACGGCTCTTCCAGAGGACCAGGATTCAATTCCAGCGTCCCCAAGTGACTCACAACCATGTGTAACTAGTTCCAAAGGATCCAGTGTCCTCTTCTGGCCTTCAGGAACTGCATACATGTGGTGCACAGACATTCAGGCACTCATACACATAAAATAAAAATAAAACCTCAAAAAAAAAAAGTTGGGATAAAGAATGTGGCTCCAAGCTTACTTCCACTCCTTCTCCAAGAATGGCGTGTCTTTTACATCTCTTGTTCTGCAAACAAAAAAAAATCCACAATAAAATTTTTATTCCACTCACTAAATACATTTCTATTTAATTGTTTTTGAGGTTTTTGATTATGAGGATGATGCTTCAGGAAATCACACACTGAATGTGTGGTGGGCACATTAGGACTGTCTAACTGTTTGGAAGTTTGTGTTTGTGAGGTTAGGATGTCCGGATTTTTGCCAATAATGGCATCTAGTACATGACAGGATTAAGGGAAATGTAATACAGGTAAGTTAGCACCATGAATGTTTATTTAAAAAAAAAGAGGTGAAGAGGGCGGGTGAGAAGCTTTAGTGGATGAATTGATGGCCACGGAAAATGAGGAATGAGTCTCCAGAACCTACATAAATGTCAGGTGGCACGGTGACC